GTAGCCCTAGTATGGGAGGGGGGAGGGGGAATATTGTTAGTAATGTGGACTACCAGTCCCATTGCAATACACCCTGTCAAATTGACCTTCACGTGATCCTCCTTAGAAACCATCGTGCTGAATTTCAGGTAAATTCATCACAATAGGCCAACTGGCCTGCCATTTCGTTCTCGCATATCATCCCTCACTGGTGCCCCGCCAGCATATATCGTTAGCGCAGGCGGGGAGACCATTCCATTAACATTCATTAAAAAAACCTCTTAAAATCAAAACACAATCCTATAAATACATCTGATACACGGAAGAAACACGAATGGGACAGAAATACCCAAGCAAACGACTTTTGTACAAAGTCATATACCCATGATATATAATAATAAAAAAGTGACTGTTCAAAAATGCTTTAATTTAAGTTTACTTGAATAAAAATATTTCTTTCTTTAATACCTCTTGGTACTTGGCACTTTGGCTTGATTTGGTAAACAAGTTTCAAATTTAAACGACAGAGTAATTTACGGAATAATAGACAGTTAGGAAGAAGATATTTTTGAAACATACATTTTAAACTAAGCTCCTCTTCCTATTTTAAATTACCTGACACGCTACTTTGCGTATCTTATTTCCATTAAATTATATTATTAATCTGTAGGTACGAGAACATCACTCGTTGACGCGTAAAATGTAGAATTGCGTTGCGCAACACGTTACTCCTCGTTCGGATAAAAAATGGTGGATTTATATTTTTACAGCAGCGCACCATATTAGCATATTGCGGATACCGGCACATAGAAATTAAATCTGAATGTAAATCCTGGTAATAACGTTTAACGACGTAACGACGGCATGTGCCTAGACCATTTTCATTTGCCCTCTTTTATGTTTCACTTTAATGCGATTATTCAGAGCGATTCACCATTTGAAAACGTCTTATTAAATTGGACAATAATACAACTGCTTTATTCTGTATTCAACTTTAAAAAAAGAATTGTTGTGAAGTTTGTTTCAAATCGCACGAATTCAGAATCATATTTTCTCCCTCATCTCCATTTTATATTATGATTATACTTAACTACGAGTAAATTATATTACCAGAGGGAGAATTTGTACAAAAGTCGATTGCTTGGATACCTTTGTCCCATTCGTGTTTCAACCGTGAAGCAGTTGTGTTTGCATACCTGTATTTCAGTTTGAAGGGAAGGATATGGCATGAATTTACAGGGTACACAGGAATAACATCTGAGTCCTCAGGAACGGCAACGCATGGGAGGTATCCTGGGCGAAACAATAATACTCTGTTATGTCCATGGTACTGCTCATGTCTCTAGGCGACGGTTACCACTTTCCATCAGGTGGGCCGTCAGCTTGTTTGCCATTCTAAGTTGTATAAAAATAAAAAAAACAACTCCTTCACTTACTTTACCGTATTTTTCAAAGTTGTTACACCTATTCATGTAAAGTCTCCCATTTTCTGTCTCGTAATTTTTTATATAAGCTTATATTTTGATTTATCCAACGGGAGATCTAATTATTTACATCTTTCCCCTCATCTCATCTGTATTTAAATTCAGTTTTACCAATTGACATATTTTTTATTCGCTTTTCGTACGCATTTAGTCAATAAGGAAAAAAAAAATTTATTAAGGGAAGTACCTAGAATTTGGAAATAACTATTTATTTCTATGCAATGAGTTTCTGTTTTGCTTCTGTCCTGATAAGACTAGCCTTAACAGGTAATACTTTTTCAAGCATACAGAAATTTAAAAAACAAGTATAGGTTAATAATGGATTTTCATACAAAGTTACATTCATACATTATAATGTTAATATATGCGTAAAGACATTCTTCTGTTTTTGAGAAAGAAAATAATCACATTCCGAGCAGGTTTAATATACATATTTAAATACAGCAGATGGATAATGTTGACCGTTTTGTATGGGGACCGGATGTCGCCCCTCATCTATCTTACAACAGATGTCAATTTGACACAATTCTTCAATCAACAGATAATTAGCTTTGATATTAATCCACGTATCATTTACGTTGGATACCATCACCTGCATAATTTTAATGACTACGAAATGCTTATAAATAATATTTTTCCTTATATTTCCAAAATCAATACTCTTTCTTTAATATTATAAAGCCTAGATAGGCTCTAAGTTTAGACAAATTTTAGCGACAATCTGATTCGAACTTGAATATCGACAAATGTATCAAAAATATTACATCAATTACTAAGCTCAGTATTAAAACAATTTTAGCATTTAAATATTAAATATCTTTTAAAATTTATTTAAAAATAGAATCTAGTCTAAAATATTGAATTTATCGGTGGAATAGAATTCTTTGTGTTTTATAAGTTTTTTATATAAACGAATTTAAGCACACGTTTCATATACCATAAATGACGGGCATTTTGGAAATGTTACTAACGACCGTCGTAGAAAGTAACTGGCATGTGTATGCGAAAGGTTGGTCAATTCACTCCTACATACCGTCATAGTATTATTAGCTATTATTTTTCATCATATCATTAGCTACATATATAAAAAAATATATATATATAAATTAATCTCAGTTTTCGTTGTAATTTTATAACTCAAGAACGGGCTCACCTATCCAAACCAAATGTTTAGGCTTTGTTCGGACTATTTAGTAGATGGTTTATGTGAAGTTTGCGAAAAATCGGTCGAGTGGTTCTTCATTTGTCACATTTTCTGTAACAAATAAATTCAATAAATGGCGGATTATTTTGTTAATGGGGATTTTTGTGTCAAATTCAAACTTTTTTAAGATGGGGATTGTGCTGTCAAATTTAACTTTTTTTAGTGTTGACGGTACAAGCATGTTGTTATATCATTCATGCGGTCATTTCATTTTGGAAGTGCTTCGATTAAAGCAAATTTTCAGCGATAATTATTGCTTTGTGTTTATATTTTTAAACATATTATTGAGTGCATTCATACAAACGGTGAGTTTTTAATTGTTCAAATGTATACTATGCGTGTACTTTTCTCAGTTTTTTAGCGAGTCGTCGGTGTTTCATATCGTTTACAAACTTTATTTGAATTAAATTGTCAAACAACGGTAAGTTTTGAACTGTTGAAGTGAATTACATGTATGCATGTGTGTTTCTTTATTTGAAAAAACATATTGTGTGCATACAGGTGTTTTAATCTTTTGTAACAGATGGAAGCACGTTGATTTAAAAATTAATTATATAATGTCATTTTTATATACATTGATTGACGTACGCAGTCATATACATTTTCATACACAAATATACGCACATGTATAAATACTGATACACCACTATTAATGTAGCAATTTGTTTTTAATTTTGATTTATTCTTTTTTATATGAAAGAAAAATGCCACGAGCCAGACGAGCAAATATAGGAAATAGCTAGCAATTAATAATTGTTAGTTATTTCCTATATTAGCAATTAAAATTTTTGTTGGAGTAAATTAATTTTTTTATCGGAGCGAAGCACGTACTGTATATATATATATATATATATATATATATATATATATATATATATATATATATATATATATATATATATATATATATATATATACTAGCTGACCCCGTAAACGTTGTTTTACCACTTATTGCGAAATATCAAAATCGCAATTAAAATACAGGGGTTGATTGTAAAACGATGAAAATTTGTAAAGTTGTATATATTTTTCAATGCTAAATTATAATAAAATAAAAATAAAAAAAATTGTCAAAAAAATTTATTTTGGGGTGGGTCACCCTTATCATTGACGGGTATGAAAAATAGATGTTGGCCGATTCTCAAACCTTGGGTAGGTTCAAGATCTATTACCTCTATCATCGCTATATCTGTTCATGAAATAAAATTAAATGAATACCTTATTACTACTTCATCGTGCAAATTTTTTAAATTATAATATTATATATACTTTTATTTATTAGTATTTGCCATGTTCGCATTTTAGCTTATATCATACGAGAAAATTTTCGAACCAGTTAATTCTAAATATTGCCAGTGATAACGTATTAGTAATTTCATGCATACAGCCCAGCCAAGTAGAGATCATTGATTAACCAAAGTACCTACACGGTCAAAGCAAGTACCTCCACTCCAAACATCTATGTCTCTCATTCATTTATAAAAATAAATTTATCGTTCATTTTAAAAACCTGAGTACCCCAAGCTTTTTTTATAATGACATCAGAAGGCTCACAGAACAAGAAAGAGTTCATCTGATAAAAGTTTATTATTATTAAAAAATATTTATCAGTTTTTTTTTATAATTTGAATTCAGAATTTTCACTTAAAACTTAAGTATTTTTAACATTTTGTATCGGATTGTGCATAATAGGTATTTTTTATGTTTTGATTTATGCAATTGATAAATTGGTTGATTGCATCTTAAAAACCGATATATAGGGATGTACATCAGTGCATATCACACAAAGTACGTTTATATTTATAGTAGGACTTTCACTGCAGTTGATAATATATATAGGTGTTATATACAACTGTACTTTACTTAAAAGCTCTCACTAACAGCAGTGCCGGAACGAAGCTCGCTAAAACCCTTTATGAGATGACGTGTAATTATTTCTTAAAACAATTAACATAGCGCTGTACCGACTTAATTACCTCTGGAGCTTTCCAAATGGCTTAGCATGGCTGGCCGCTTAAGAGATTAGACGAACTACTTTAGTGCTGTCATAAAATTAAATTTTCTTCGCAACTTTGTAACGACTTAATAAAAATAGTCCACCTTACACACTTTTTAATGCCTAAAACAATGCAAGTAATAAAAACAAAACTTATATCATAATTCAAACGGACCATTCCTCTCTTGAATAACAATGCGATGAAATTTATTACTCAATGAGCTGTGGATTTATATTACGAAGAATCCCAGGAGAGAACTTTCAAAACTCTCTGAAATGATTTGCGGACTCGGCTTAATGTTGGGGTAAAGGGAATTTGCCGTTTCAAGTAAAAGAATTTATACTGGTTTCTTGCAATTTAATAATATTCTTTCAATATATAATTAATTAGGTCATTTTTTTAACCATAAATCATAATCCGATCCTCTAAACCCTAAAACAAGCTGTCTGGCTGACATAGTAGGCTAATATCTTTATTGTAAGGTGCGAATCCCTTGTCCAGCAGTAGAGTATTCAATAATATTACTATAAAATGTTTTAGGGAAAAAGCCTGGCTTTTCAATATATTTTAAATTATACAATATATTTAATTTACAATACATTTTCATTTTTTACACGTTATCTTTGGATCCAAAAAAGATCTTAGACTGTTCTCATCATAGACACTTGGCGAATCGTCATTATAATTTAACGCCTCACACACTCTGCAATAGTGATACGATTTCGAGCCGAAATATCCGTGTTCGTTTACAACTTTAAAATTATTTCTCCACTGATGATACGTGAGCAATGTTTCATTGTTTTTACTAATATTTATAAGTTCCTTTGCCAGTTTCTCTGGGGTATCAAAATCGTCAACGTATATGTACGATTTGGGTGGTAAGAATTTCTTGCAATCATCATTTGATGGCCCCATTATGACTGGAATAGCGCCTTTGGTGTAAGCATTTTGAAAAAGTTTCTCAGTCATGTATTGAGAGCAAATTGAATTTTCAAATGACAAATAAAAAAAATATTTCGATAACACACCGCAATCAGATCTAAAGTGACCTGGACAACTGAAAAAAAATATAAATATTTACTTTTCATAACTACATATTATTTATTAATATTATGATAATTGAATATAAAATTAAAAAAATTGTTTTCTTTTTTCCTTTTATCAAATCAAAAAGTCATAATTAAATTTTACAAAACGTAAAATTTAATAATACTTAAAAATAATACTGACCTATTTTTATTTGATTCTGAACACATGCCATGAATATCAATATCCATATAATTTTGCAACACATTCAAATAATTCATTCTCCATGAAACACAGTTAGAAATAAGAATAGCAGCTAGTACATCCCGGCTTTTCTCCTTCCAGTTAGGAACATATTCCGCTATAGTCTGATACATCAAGTCAGGCATCAGCGATTCCTCCAACGGTACAGTGCGTCCATACGGTACCGGAATATCAGCATCAACTCTGTAAATATTTTAGAACAATATTATTCATATTAAAAGAGATAATCTGATATAATATCACAATATTAAAATCTTAAAATGTCAGGATATAAATAATACAAAATAGAAGACAAAGGGTATCCAATAGCTCTCTGTTGTATCAATATTATTTTTCAATATTATTTGCCATTGAAATTTATAAATAAGTAAGACCATATTTAAATATTAAATCCGATAAACTTAACAGTAATGATAAATGCTTTAACAAACTTAATTACATCGAGAGATAATAGAAGATTAAACATCAATCTTGACAATATTCGATAAAATGTGGGCATGTATAACAATAATTATAAAGGTTATGCGTCTCCGGCTTTTTAAGTGGTATTCTTGTCTATAGGTTACCACTTTTTATCAGATAAACCGTTCTTTTGTATTTTTCCAAGTTATACAAAATACATATAAAGATGTTCAATTCAACTATGACAATTAGTTTTCATTATCTTTTTTAATTTACCTGTAAGTCATGGACCAATTGAAAACATTTGCCCAATCTGAAAACTTTGGTTTAACTTTGGCCATGGAAAATGAATATAATGGTGACTCGTCACTCAGAAATATCCATCTTTGATTAGGATTCCTATTTTTAATATTTGGTATTAAGCCATGTTGAATATGCACTACTACAGCATCAGCTGTATTTATTTGATCATTATCTCCTGTGAATTTGCAATTCTTCACACTACAGTATTCAAGTGGATCATTCCTGTAAGAATAAAATTAAATAATCCTTACTAATACTATAAATTCAAATTTTAATTATCATTATATAAATAGACTATTGCCGTGTGATCCCAGCATTGAATGGGCCACCTCTTCCTTTCCCGTGAGTGTCGTAAGAGGCGACTAAGGGAAAGCAAGAGATGGGCAGCAACGTCCCTCTTTTTAGTTACCAATCCATCTGCCAAGCGTGGCGACTACTGGCAACCCCCCCCCCCCCCAAGGGGGAGGCTTATGTTCAGCAGTGGGCGGTTGAGGGCTAATATGATGATGACGAATACTATAAATATGAAAATAAGTTTCTTTTTTAGCACCTTAACTACATAACCAATTACTATTAGTCTATTAGTTTATTAGTTATTACTATTAGTATTAGTCCATTTACCTAAGAATTATTAAAATTTGAATTTAATTTATTAAATTTAATATACAAGTACCATACGAGATGGAGAATAACATAGAATATTTTTTGTCTCGGTCATTACACATATTTCCATCATGCTATTAAGATAATAAAATAGACATCCTTTCTTTAGTAATCATTATACTAGATAGAGCCTTGGCAGATATATCGTCATATGGGTACATGCACACATACATGGTAAATACGACTCGTGTTTATACAACCAAGCAACCGTGCTTGCATAGCTGTGTTTCCGTTTGAAGGGGCACATTAGTTCTCATAAATAATAACGCATGGATATCACAATATAACCATTACACTGTCACCTACAGATATGAAGAGCATTCATAACTGTAGGTGATGGTCAACACTTTCTATCAAGTGAGCCGTCGGTATAATCTATTTATAATCTAGCCGTCCTCGGCCATCCTAAGTCATATGCAGGGATCAAAAGATAAGTGCACTGAGAAATAATAAAACAGTAAGTTGAGAACGATGGCAATTACGTCCTTTACATTCAATTAATAGACAGCTTAATTGTACGTTATAAAAAAAACTAAATTCTCTAAATAAATTTATCTTTTTCTAATTACGTAGAACAGATATTATTATTACACAATAAATTAAAACTAACCTTTTAGAATTGTAGTTGTGAATGTGTCTTCCTTTCAACCAGTCCCAGTATTTCCATATCAATACAACAAATGTTATATTTTCTCTAGCGACTCCATACCTTTCGTTCTTAAATAAAATTGCACCTAATTTAGAAGTCTTCCAATTCTGAAAACAATAATTATAAATATATTGAAAAATAATAACAATTATAAATAAATTAATAAAATTAATCAAGACATTTCTTCCGTATAACATTTACTAAAACAAAATCTTTAAACCTATAAAAAACGATAATATTAAGATATCTTACGTATATATAATTCTTAAATTGGTGTCTGCAACTTAAATTATAAATTAATGAACTAATCCATGACATATCTATAGCATGAACATAATAAGTCCTGACAAACTTAACCATAAAGTGCCGAGTTGAAATTAAGTACTTTTTGATATTTAAAACTTAATAAACTACATTAATGACTTTATATTGTTAGTAAAATACATAATAGATACATATATTTAGTTAATATCTAATTACTAAAATATATATGAGAAAAATAATAATAAATTAAAAATAATATTTTAATTTTGTGTAATTTGAAATTACAAGCAGGCTAATATAAAAAATGGTAAGTATCGCCAATAGACGTAAACAACATCATGGACATCACAAAATACATTATGACGCCCATAGTATTTCTGATACGTTTTTAATACTGAGGACCTAGAAGGCGTTATGCCTGAGTGCTTTGTAATTGCATTGCAATTATCTCAGCTTCCAAACCCAAACAACTATGCAAATGCAGGTGTTTCGTATTAGAACACGAGTGACACAAAGGTAAAATAATAAACAAATTAATAAGTTGTTCAATTATTTAAAATACAATACCTTTACCTACTTATCAAGTAAATAATGAGTAACCCATTAATTAATCAGCTAAATCTGTGTCATCAACTTTAATCACAAGTCTAGAAATGTAAAATAGAATAATATTTTTTTTATTATAAAGAAAAAACTTACCGCTCTTTTTTTATAATAATTACTCACAGTCACATTATGCTTGAAAGTATGTTGACTACTTAAAAAATACTTAGCTTCTGTTTCACTTTGTAGAACATCATGAATGTTTTGTGCCGTGCTACTATGGGACACCAAATACTCGGACACAATTAAGAACATACATATAATTATACACATTAACAAAACTTTTTGAAAATATCTACTACTGAAATTGCTATAATAAGCCATAACTTTAACTGTTTCTTCTAAGTTTATTTTAATTTATATGACAAATTAATAATATAATTTCTTTGGCACTTTTATACATTGTACAATTATCTATAAAGGTAGGTACCTCATTTTTTATTTCTCACGTTCCATAACCGATAACCCGCCATATTTATACAACATAAACACACTCACATTTCTAAGCTATTAAATAAATGACGGTTTTGATAAGAACGTAAATCAAAAATAATGCAAAATGACACTTATTTTGTCCATGTTACAATTTATGTTAAATTTTTTTAAAGATCATATAATAAATTTCGACATTGAAATTAATATTTTTTGTACACTAAAAGTAACACATTAGAAAATTATTATTCTTACTGATTCGTCAAGCGTCCGTGAATATTTACAACTCGAGTATATTACTTGCTATTACTATCTGAAAGGTTTTCATCGTGAACTGGACAGTACAATACAAAAATACCTGTATTACAATGATTGTGTCCATGTGACATACACAGTGACTACATGTAGATATGTATGTAGCGATAATATCTTCATTGTTTCCGAAATATAAACCTACCTCGGTAATTACGAATGAACAATGTTCAGAATTCAATTTACTGATATGTATCAATTTTCGTCACCAGTCGTTTCGAAACTAATCTAAATACTGGAAATGCGTTATTGATATGTATTATAACGATATCTATAAATTTAGATGTAGATGTAGATACCTGGGTTACTGATAAGTCTTCAATGAGTGGTTATTTTTTTATGGTATACCTACGCGATAAGAAGCTATACGCTATCGTTTTATGTTAGCTATTTATCACCATGATGTTTATAGTGATGTAGTACTGAGATGGATTTAATAGTTTGTTGATTCTTTTAGAGAGATTGTTTATTATATATTTATAGTTTTTATTTATATTTACATTTATGACGAATTATAAGTAAGTAATTACAAAAATAGCTTAGATTATTTAGATAGTATATCGTATAGTAGATCGTACATGTATACGTGATAGGGTTATCAGATTAGTAATTATTACTTTAAATTAAGGTAAATAATACATATACACTCTTTATTAGTTTTGTATGAAATATTGTTTTGACAGTTTATGTACAAAATTAAAAATAATATTCAAATTGTCTAATATGGAAAAAAAATAACTTTTGATTAAAATGCAGATTTTTATTTAAAATAAATAAAAATACATTCACGGCATTTACAATACAAATTTTATATAATACGAATTTTCTCTTTATAACAATTCCAATTTTTCTGTAAAATTAATTGATTTAATAGATTCTACGGTCTTCTTTGGAATCACTCTTCATAATAAAACTCAATGGGGTTTTCATATTTAAAACCTTATAACTAAATTAAGTTCTGCGGCGTATGCTGTATGCAGGGTTAAACAGTACCTATACTAATTATGAGACTGCCAGATTAGTTTATTTTAGTTACTTTCATAGTATACTGTCCTATGGAATATTATTATGAGGTAAAGCAGCCGACATACAAACCATATTTGTATTACGAATACAATTTATTCTATGGAAAGTCGTGCATCATTAGGAGAAAAATTTAAAGAAGCAAATATTTTCACCGTAACTTTACAGTACATATACGTAAACATTTTGTATATACACAGGAATTTATTAATTTATTTATTCATTAGTACAAATATGTGTACATGGCGGACTTAATGCTAATAGCATTCTCTCCCAGTCAACCATAGGGAAGTGTCAGAATACTCGAATGCGGTACTACTAATTATTGATATACATACATACTAAAATTACATATATAAACGAATAAATATATATGAATAACAAATATACTTACACATATATGATATATACTATATTATACACGAATTTGGGAATAATATAAAGCAGGAATCTTCAACTTTAAAAACAGCGATCTGATTAATCTTAATACTAGATACCGGGTAAGGGATTGTTAGCAATAGTTTGACAGTCCCATTGCTAGCAATATGCCCTATCAGGTCAACCTCCACGTGATTCCCCCTGGAAACCATCGTGAACAATTCACGTTGAATTCATCACGATGAGCTAACTGACCTGTTTCATCCTCGTCTATTATACTATTAAACTCCCACGAGGCGACAAATAAATAAACAAATAACTACAAACAAGTATTTCACGTTAATAAGTGAATTCAAGTAATAACAAGTGAACGTCTAGTCATTTCAACGTTAACTAACCATTTAATGCTATATAACTTCGGCATTTCTCTGCTTCGGATGTAAAGTAATGCCCATGAGTCCCAGTTGTTATAATAAGATAATAGTCGTTAGCCAAGTTGAAGGCTTTCGAACCTCTTGAAAATTTTGTCATTGTGGTTTGCTCCTAACTATCGTCTCCTTATGGTTACTGACCTTGCGAGTATGCAAAGACAATTTATGATCATTAGATTTAAAAATATATTCTCCATACTTTATTATCCTATTTACATATTTGTTATTCAAGAACAAACGTACATTAATGTATATACTTATTATTACTTATTTTAGAGGCAGACTGTGCAAAAGTCGTCTGTTTGGGTACCTCTATCCCATTCGTATTTGCATGGCTGTGTTTAGGTTTGAAGGGTGGGATATGGCGTAAATTTACAGGGTACAGAGAAATAGCACCTGAGTCCTGAGAAATATCAACGCATGAGGAGTATCATGGGCGAAACAGCATACTCTGTTATGTCCATGACACTGCTCATGTCTATACGCGCGACGCGATGGTTACCACTTTCCATCAGGTGGGCCGTCAGCTTCTTTGCCATTCTAAGTTAAAAAAAAACTTTTTTATATATTGAAATAAAATATTAAACCAGCCTAATAAAAGTACCAAAGTTGTACTAATCTGACGGTATACTGGTAGTAAACATAATAAGGTTATGTTATAAAAACTAGTTTCAATACCTATAAAAATATATATATTAAATATTAAGAATATGTTTATACTGTATAGTACACAGTACAATTTTATCTGTTCCTATACTTGCTTTGCGGAGAATATTTTCCATAAATGTCCACTCTTATACTTTGCTGAAGCTATTTCAAATATCTTCTTCGACGCTCTACATTTGATTTAGTAAGAATTATAACAAAATAAAAAAATTGCCGTGTGGTCGCCAGCATAGAATGGGCCACCCCTTCCTTTCCCGTGTGTGCCCTAAGAGACAACTAAAGAAACTTAAGATTCAAGGGACGGGCAATAGCTTTCCTCTTAAAACATCACCAATGAACGTGTAACTGCGGAGAAGGAAAAGGAATTGTTAACAATGGAGTTGGGCAACCCCATTGCTAGCAATACGCCCTATATATTAGGTCGACCTCCACGTGGTTCCCCCTGAAAACCATCGTGAACAATTCTTGTTGAATCCATCACGATGGGCAAACTGACCTGCTTCATCCTCATCTATTATCCTTTACTGGCGCCCCGCCGGTGTATACCGATAGCACGGGTGGGGTTACCATTTTATTATCACCCATTAAAAAAAAGAACGCCTAACTGCAGTTGCGAACGCGCCTGCCCAATTTGGCAACTACTGACAAAATCTACCTTATGGGATAAGCCTATGTTCAGCAGTGGACAGTTAACAGCTGATATGATGATAATAAAATCAAAAGTTAAAACTCAGATGGACATACTCATAAGTGCTTATATCGTAGAAACATATAGGTACTATCCTCAATCTATGACCTAGATAGACTAAACAAGTTGTTTTGAATTGCAGGTTTCTTTTAGTAAAATAAAAACTGTTTTTTTACTTAAAGATTGTTGCAAAACTTTTGGCGAAATTCTAAGAACAAGGAATTACATAGAAGGAATGGTAAAATAAAAACTATGAATCATATGATTACCTTCTTTTTACTTATGCAAATATAATTAGTAAAAAGAGGACGAAAGATATAACACCAGTTGCTATTTTTGTAAATTTATAGTAGGTTACTGTATAGTAAGTACAGATGGGCAAAGCACCGGGTTTAAACCCGGTGCTTTGGTAAAAACCCAATAAACACCCATAAACTCCCATAATCACCCAAAAAAATAGGTTTTTACGTATTTTTTTGAAAATATGTAAGTAATACCAATAAATTATTTTTATAAATTGCCAGGTAACCAAAAAGTCGTATGTTTTTGTGCGAATTACGATCATAATCTTTACGATCGTACATTAAAAAATAGACAAATAATAGTATGAGTACGATTTAAATCGTATATCTGTCAACCCTGCTAGCAAGACAGCGACAAAATCACGTTGCATAACAATGTAGCCCAAGCTTATATCTTATGAAATATACGGAAGAGATACGGACTTAGAAAAAACAGAAATGTTGTTCTTTGTGGAAGTCATTGATGAAATTCTATGTATTTTAGCCCGCAAACTTTCTTCAAACAAAAACAGCGCCATCTAGTATCGAGTTCTGTAATTATCTCTTTGTTTATGGATTTGAAGTAAGACCGCCACGCATGCAATACATTATGACTGGGGATTCCCCTATTCGTCGACGCTGAATATGAGGCGACGACAATCACTGTCAAACGTGTTCACTATTACTCTGACTCTGGTAACGTGACTTCCTGGTAACGTGTTAGGTAGGAAAAGCAGTAAAAAAGTGCATATTAAGGGAGCAGATTTGAAATAATATTTATACTTAACAAGAAATAATTAAAGGTAAGTGGATTTTTGAATGATACAATTATATCATGATCACTTAACAATTTTAACTTAAAATTAGATGTAATTACAAGCTTTTATTTAGCTTGCGTTATGTAAATAAAAGTATGTAGGTATGTTCGTATGTTGATGCAATTATCCTCAATCCTCAACCGACTGGGATAAAATTTTCCATACACGTTTATTTTGGATGATAGTGCATAGTTAGCTGAGAGTCGTCATTGGATAATAATGGTGGATAGCCTAAGATGTGTACTAGATATTTATTTTTAACATAATATGCGTAAGTACCTAATCGAATTAAAGAAGTTGCTGAGAAAAATACAGAACAATACGATAATAAACTAGCGTCTGCGTTTAATCCTCCGAGGAGATGTAATTTTACAAAGGTTTTTTGTATTTATTTTATTATTTTTTTAATAAATTTATTGTAAATAACAAGAAATAATCATTGTAAAAAAATAGGCACTCTATTGTTGAATTTTCGTCAGACCAACTAATCATCGTTCATTTTTTTAGGTTCAATGGGGAGACCTAAAGATTTACGCATATGGGAGCACTACCGTACTTTACCAAACAAGTCTGTTTCTTGCAAGCTTTGTAATAAGGTCTACAAATTCAGTAATGCTGCCAAAATGCTTCAACATCTTATCACTTGTCCAAAATCTCCAGAAACATTAAAAGACTCTATGAAACTTATAAAAGATAGCTCGTCCAAAACCAAAATGTCTGGACTGTCAGAGATAGAGACAAATGATTCTTTTATAAGCCCCTCGTCGTCTGCTAACACTACAATAAATGCTGAGTTTCAAGACACCGATGATCATATAAAAACAGAATTAGCGAGAGCTATATTTGTAACAGGGACGCCATTATCGATGGTGCAACATCCTTTATGGATACAATTTTTCGAAAAATTGCAACCAAAATTTAAAATACCTTCACGTAAAGCTTTAGCGACAAAATACTTAGATAAAATATATAGAGAAATGCGTTTTGAGTTAAATGAGGAACTAAATGCTTGTAGTTACTTACACCTTCAGTGCGATGGCTGGTCTAATTTAAGAAATGAAGGAATAATAAACTTTCTTATATCAAAACCTCAACCTGCATACGTTAAAAGTTTGAATACAGAAAGTAATCCTCACACTAGTGAATACCTTAGCCAAGAAGTTGAAAAAGTAATGAAAGTGTATGGAGCAAATAAGTTTCTTGTACTTATTGACGATAACGCTAGAAATATACAAAAGGCATTCGAATTAACAAAACTCAAATATCCACATGTTGTTCCTCTCGGTTGCTGTGCACATATCCTTAACTTGTTGTGCCAAGATATTGTAAAGATACAAGAAGTAACTGTGTTTATTATGCAAGCCATAAATATAATAAAAACTGTTAAAAGGAGTCAACGATTAAGTTCCTTGTTGATAAAATCAAGGCAGGGTTAAGATTCTACACAAACACTAAAATTGCCTTGTGCTACAAGATGGGGAAGTCATGTTACTTCGTTAAAAAGTTTGAAAGCAAATAAGATAGCTTTGCAAATATTAACAGTTAGAGAAGATGTGGTAATTTCAAGAGATATTAAAGATTTAATTCTAAGTGATGATTTCTGGACGAAGACAGGGGAATGTATAAGTATTTTGGAACCAGTCACTGAAAGCATATTTTACTTAGAGAGCGACCAGAATCGTTTGCATCGCACATACATTACATTTAGAGATGTACAAGCTAAGATACGTTTTGCATTAAATGAGATTTCGACATTGAGCGAAGAAAGCAAACAGCAGATTCTAACATCAGTATCTTCAAGATGCAATATGGTAATGAGGCCAATACATTTTGCAGCATATATTCTAGACCCCAGGACTCTAGGAGTCGAACTTACTCAAGAGGAAGAACTTAAGGGTATGGAGTTTATCTACAATTTAAGCCAACACTTAAGTTTGTCAAATGTAATGGCAGATTTGGCGTGTTATAAAGCTAAAGAAAACTTTTGGGCCAGAGGATTTGTATGGAGCTCATTAGATAGCAGTGAGCCCCTAATATGGTGGAAAGGTATTTGTGGTTCCACTGAGTTAAGCAAAGTAGCGATTCGTATTCTATCAGCTCCCTGTACTTCGGCAGCCACTGAGCGTTCCTTTAGTATCCAAGGCTACATACATAATAACAAAAGAAATCGACTTACAACTGAAAGAACTGAAAAAATTTCATTCATTTGTTATAACTGGAATCTTAAACATAAAGCTGAATGCGAGGACATTCAGTTTAATGAAGAAAATACCTTAGAAGCTTTCATTGAGCAAGTAAATGAACATAACAGTTTAGACGAAATAGAGCCTATCGAACCTATACAATTCATCGCTTGTAATAACTCTGAATCTGACAGTGATTGACTGTAGTTTTACATTTTACTTTCATCTCTTTCTTAATAAACTCAAAATCAAATTAAAAGTTTTTTATTCTGTAGGCTGCATAATAATATTGTCTATGTCCAGTATAGTGGACGTCTTGCGGCTGAGATGACGATGATGAAGTACAAAATCATAAACACCCAAAAATTTGGGTGTTTATGGGGTTTAAACCCAATAAACCCAAAACACCCGGTTTTTACCCACCAGACTTTAAACCCACCCAGGTGGATTGCCCATCTCTAATAGTAAGGCGACTAAATATTTTTTGTTCAAAAAGAGTAAACTTTGCAAGTATTTCATAGATGAAAAAAAAGAAGAAAAAACGATAAAAACTTTATTTTGTTTTAAAATCATATTTTTTTCGAATTGGATTTTTTTTTTGCTAAATGAAGATTTTCATCATCTGATGATATCTATCTTTTCATACACTAACCTGCTATGAATTGACAAGAATAGCAACCGATGGTGTATGTCATCTTCTTTTATTTGCATAAGAAGAAAGGAGGCAACCATATGATTTACAGTTTTTTTTTTATCATTCCTTCTATGTAATTCCTTGTTCTTAGGCGAAATTTTTAGCAAATACATTCTGTGGCATATCGTAATGACAGCAGATAAAGAAGTCTTTCTCAAAATGATAGAATGACAGTATGACATTAAATTTTTTTTTTTTTTTTTTCTTTTTTTGTGGCGTTCACATTAAATTTGACAATGACAATGAAGTTTCTACTTGTACGGGAAAATTATATCTGTTGTTTAATTTCTAATATTTTCCATTACGCAGTAACTACAGCTTTTACATTTTTAATAAATTTAAATATATACTAAAAAATTAATTTAACCAATAAACAATAGAGAAAAAACAAACGGTACGAAAATTATTTAAAACACTGTTACCTATTTCCCAGCTGAAAGTACAGTAAGTACTAGATTAGCATCTATATAAGCACCTATATCTTCTTTTTATTCATTTTAATACTAATCAGTATTAAAATATAGATCAATCGGATTTCTATTTTCTAGTATACATACAATTATTTTAATATAATTATATATACATAATTACTTACCGTAAGTCTTATGTTTTTATTTGAATGTGATGAAAGATATAGCTACATTTCAATTAATGTAACTTGTATAAGTTAATGTAAAAATTACAAATAGCTTCAAAACAATAATGTTAAATTAGATAATCAAAGCAAAGAAATAATATTATTTAATACTACTAAGTTATTAGTAGTACATTTAGTTGTATTATGTACCAACTGTTACCAGTGACTGTGGTCATTGATCTACTTAAATATTACCTTATAACCATCTTCATCCAATATAGTATATATTTCTAACTTTCATAGTTACTGTTTAAGCCTTTAAAGCGCTAGGATGTAACAAAAAAAACAAACTTACTTTCACATTTATTAATAATGATGTATGAAAATAGATTTTTATATTATTGCATCATAAATAATTTTAAAATCCTTGTTTACTATTTTTAATGGTTGCAATATGACTCATTTACATTTAAGTAGGTATATAATATACAAAGATAATTATGAGACTATCATAATTATTTATGACTCAAGTGACTAAAGATGAGTGGTGCTGCTTAGACCTTTGAAAAGTTATTAAGTATTTAGAACTAGATTGTTTGAAATTTATAACCCTGCACTATGTGATTTGCTAACCACATCAGTTTAATGTAAAAAATGTTAAAAAAAAATATGGATTCATTTAATATAGATTGAATAAGACCAATACTTAATATATTTAGGTGAAAATGATGCATGAATTTTTCTTTTTTCATCTTGTTTATTAGAGTATTAATAGAAGTATTCTTCTTTCAATAAATTTCCAGAGAATGGAGCAAACATCTTCAGAAGTGCAACCTAGTGGCTTGCTCTTAACTCCACAAATGGCCTTTGCACCAGAAGTAAATACTGATGGGGAGCTCGTAGAAACCATGCCCAGTCTCTCACCAGTACAAATTCAACAAGAATATTATGAAAACCTGGCCGATTGTGATTGGGTCAAGTGAGTATTACCCTTTCATACTTCAGTCTTTGATAAGTTAAACAAATCTCATGACATCTTAACAGATCTAAATGTGAAATGTTTACTTTACAAAATTATATCTCTAATATTGGAAATCAATATTAATATTGTATTCCGGTTTACTAATTTTGTCATGTTATCTTGTTAACTTATTACCTGAATAATTGTCACATAATTACATTGTGTTGCATTCTTAACATTTTCAGTTATGAAAAAACAAACAGAAACTACTTGTTGCAAAATATAGCTTTTGCATTATTTGGAGGACCAAGCAGTGAAGGTGAATTGGAGGAACTACACAGCAATCAATCGGTACATCTAGAGGGATACACGTCAAGACAAAGAGAAAGAGTTATGAAAGTGTATAATAAAATATCTGAACAGAGTAAGCATTGTTGTAATATACAGAAAGTGGGAATACCCTCGCTCCTAGGATTCACTTATTGTGCACCCCTCGACTATTAAGTTCTCTTAGTAGCCTCTTATGACAGGAAAAGAAGGGTCATTGTATGCCAGGACCGCACAGCATATTAGAGAAAGATACTTTTTGTTAAATAAATTTTTATTGCTACAGGTTAGAGGTTAAAAAAATATTATGTTTAAATACATTGGCATTACCTGTTGATGCAAATTTTATTTTGACTGCATATTTATTTACTCATATACATTGTTCTTTTTTTAAATACTTTATATAAGCTTGAAACTTTTTTAACTATTCTTCTGACTCATATACATGAGTAATTGACATGAAGATCATAAGGTAATCTGTATGTCAGAAAATAATCTGTTACAATACCAACTTAAGTAAGAATATGCTTTAATTTCAGGTAAATATTCACGAAACGATGAAGATATAGTAATGTCCGTCCTGTTGATAGTGTGTGCGAAACCAAAACCACTGAAATTTTATCAGATAGAACCATCTAATTATTGGGTCGATTTGCATCAGAGGACTGATATTGACATTTGGTGTACACCCGTGTTTAGAATAAGGAAATGTATTCCTACCACAGTTGGTGGTAAGTATAAAAAATAAATTATTATTATTATTACCCTTTATTCATATTATTACAATTACATTATGATATGTCTAATAGTTATTGTACAAGCAAGAACTATTAGACATATAACTAATAATTAATTAACTGTAATTGCTAATGAGCAAGTAAATTATGAAATCTACTTGCTCCTTAGCAAAGGTCTCTTCTGATCTTTTTTTTTTAATCTTGGTTGATTCTAGTCCACTATTCTTTCTACTATTTGGATAATTTCAGCTTCCCATCTCTTTTTTAATACATTTTTCTTCTGCGCGCATTGTCTGTCCAGCCCATATAGCCTTACGCCATTTTTGCAAGTTAATGGAAAAAAAAAAAATCATTTTTTATTCAACTGCTAATGTTTTTTTATGTTTCCAAATAGATATAAAAAAATTGTGTCCTTAATTATTGTAATAATAAATTTGGGTGCATATTATTATAATATTGTTAATGATGCTTCAAGTTACAAAAATAACTTGAATTATTATTCTCCTCATGATTTACTAAAAAAGAAAATATGAGAACAACTATTGGAATTGTAAGAAGAAAAGAGACTAAATGCAAAGCGGAAGGCACTCTCACTTCTTCCACGACACATTCGGAAGTCCGGAAAGAGCATTTAGACAGAAGCAAAATACCAATTTTATTGTATGATAAAATTATATTATAATACAAGTTTCATTGTTGCAGCTAAATGTTGCAAAGTTTATATAGATGATAATGGAAGAGTATACCATGATTGGGAATCTTATCTAATAAACAATACACAACCAAAATGTGTACTTATCGTGCCCGAAAATGGTGAATACAATGGAACTATTATTGAAGTAAGTAAATTTATTTAATTGTAGCTTAACAAAGCGCCAATTAAATTTGAAAAGACATAAGTAGCTTAACTTTTACAAGAGCAATCTATCAATTAATATTTAATCTTATTAATAGCATTGTACCTCTCAAAAAAACAATGGAATACAGTAATTTCCATTGTTCATTGAAATTGCACATTTTGATTTAATAAAGCAGTAAAAGCGGGTTGGGATATGGTGTCAATATGATTTTTCTTGTTTTGTTGCGAATTTGTATTAGTAAAATGAAAGTACATGAAAAAGGGGCCGTAACATGTTTCAGTCAAACAAATGTAGAATTAGATATTGACTACAATATATGTTAAATAATCGTAAAATCGTACATAACACAATATTATAACACAAATATTTACGACAATAAATAGATAACCTCTTAATTGCAAAGGTAACAAAATGTTTGTACAATTAATAACTTTTATGTTATATGTCCTACTTAATATATTTTGTATTTAGAATAAATTAGTTATTTTTATATTGTCCTACTACAGGGGGAGAAAGCATTTGCAGTGAGACTGACAGTCGTACCTTCCCCTACACTTGGCTTGAAGGCACGAGTGCTCAGCTCAGCAGATACTGCTAGTACTGTAGCCTCGATTGGTGCCCTTGGAGTTCTGGGCGTAGCCGCATTCACTCCAGTGGGGCCTGTAGTTCTAGCGAGTGCTGCCGTGGCATCAGTCGCCACCGGTGTATACGGTCTGGTGCGATCATCCTTGCATCTAAGAGATAGAAGTGTTCACGAACAGGTAAGCAGATTTGTCTATTTAAAAAATGTATTAACCAAATAAGAATATACTGTAAAAAGCGGACATAATACTAATAGCATTCTTCCTCCTTAGTCTATCGTCTATTAGTAAAAAAGGTAGTCATGTCAGTTAACGTCGTTGCCACCAGCTAGTAAGTAATATATATAAGTAATCTATAACCTTCCCATTGGTAGGGAACCAAGACTCAAACTTGACTGCAGATCTCGCAACCTCCATAAGGGCCAAGTCTACTGTATATCTTTCCATAAATTACTAGTGAACCCTGCATGTGATGTTATGCCCCTTACTCCAACTACTGGACTAAATTGTTTATCTGGTTATTCAGTTAATCTCTTAAGATTGGCGTGAACAAATATTGTGATACGGGATTTTTATAACATATATTCATATGAATGTTCTGTATTATCAGTATTCTACTTTGTATACTGTGACAAGAAATTGAATATTCAACCAAGAGGATGCTTCACCTAACAATTGACTGGTGGGGAAAGAGAGATTGTTAGTAATGAGAAGACTAATTTTCATCACTAACAATATAGGCCGTCTGGTTGACCTCCTTACGATCCCCACTGAAACCATCGTGGTTAGTTACTACTGAATTCGTCACCATAGACCATCTGATTTAATTTCATCCTCCATTGGTGCCCCGCTATGGTATACCGTTACCATAGACGGGTGCACCATTTTATACTTTAAAAAGAAAAACAGTTGACTAACTGTTTTTACACACTCATTGTTTGTCTATTTGTTTTTTTTTTTTTTTTATGGATGAAAATGAAATTGCGCTATCGGGGAACGCTGCCGGTGTACCAGTGAGGGATGATAAGTGAAGATGAAGCAAGTCAGTTGGCCCATCGTGATGCAATGATTAAAAATTAACCACGATGATTTCTAAATAGAACCGCGTGGAAATCGGCCTGTTAGGTTATATTGCTAGTAATGGGTCTGTTCTCACTAGTAACAATTCCTGCTTCACATCTAGTTTATGTTGCCATTGTTCTTTATACATGTGTTTGTATACAGACTATCAGTCCGACGGACGCGGAGGCACGTGGCAGCTGGCTGAACATAGCGGCCTCGAGCGTAGGGCTTGCTGCCGGCGCCGCCTCCAATCTACTCTCACGCTCTGCTGCCGCCGGCACGAATCTCACCAAAGTACAGTAATTCATACATTTTTTTTTTGTGACTTAAAATGGTAAACAAACTGGTTGTTCATTTGATATTAAGTGGTCGCTGTCGCCTATAGACATGAACTAGTTGCTAACTAATTGTTACTTGCATACTAGTGTTTAACTGATTGGAATAAATAATATCCTTTGTCTTTCTTAATCTCAAACAATGGTATGTGTTTTTTTTTTTACTTTTTATTTTATAACAATTTGTTGACCGAACGACAGAAATACATGTATTCCTACCATGGTATTCATCTACGGCATAGTTTATGATAGCCACAGTGCTTTTCATGTCTTTAAGCGACAGATACCGCTATACATTAAGTGGGTTGACAATACTACAGAAGAATAACATCTAAATCCTCAGGAATGGTAACGCATGGGTGGTATCATGGGCGAAACAGTATACTCTGTTATGTCCATGGTACTGCTCATGTCTATAGGCGACGGTTACCACTTTCCATCAGGTAGGCCGTCAGCTTGTTTGCCATTCAAAGTTGTATAAAAAAAAAATATGCTCATGTTATTAAATCTCATTGCTTACTTTTATATCTTCAATTCCAGACTGGACAAGCCCTTGCGGTATCTGTGGAAGTTCTTCGACATGCGAACTTGGTCACTGGCGGTGCTGGAGTCGTTAACAGTCTCGTGTATATAATTTTGAAGGTATAGAACTAATTTTCACCGATTTAAACAAGTGCATTTTGGTCCGCAAATAAAAAACCATGTTTGTTCGGCCAAAAAAAAAATTACTTTAAAAAATATGTTGTTAACATCATTGAAGATGATGATTACATTATTATCATTAGATTATAACGATAACCCATACTTCCAAATCTGTTCAGGTGTTTAGAAGTTATGATAGAATAAAGCAACTCATCATCCTACCCTTATCCCAATTAGTATTTGGGGTCGGCGTAATATACTTTTATCCATATAACAAAAAGATTTGGCTTAGTTTTACGACCGACCGCCTGCCTGACGTCAACCGTCTTTGGGAACTCTCATATACATTAATCCTGAAAATATTACATTCCTTTTTTGAGTTTTTTTTTTTCTATACAACTTAGAATGGCAAACAAGCTGACGGCCCACCTAATGGAAAGTGGTAACCGTCGCCTATAGACATGGGCAGTACCATGGACAGTACAGAGTATACTGTTTCGCCCATGATACCCCCCATGCGTTGCCATTCCTGAGGACTCAGGTGTTATTCCTCTGTACCCAGTAAATTCACGCCATATCCCACCCTTCAAACTGAAACACAGCCATGCGAACACAACTGCTTCACGGTTGAAACACGAATAGGACAGAGGTACCCAAGCAATCAACTTTTGTACAAAGTCTCCCTCTGGTAGGTGAGTTGTGTGATAAAGAAAAAAATATTACATATTTGACAATTTATTACATAATTGCAAATTGATATGGAAATATTATTTAAATATGAAAATTATATTTAAATAATATTTACCAAGCGAGTGGAAATGTCAAGACGGAATTTGAACCCGCACCTTGTACACCGCACCAGGGCCAGCGCAATTTAATAAAAAAATCTCTCCTCCCGACTTTTAATAGATGATTCGCTTGAAACGGCTGGGCCTTTTTTGATTTTTTTATCATTTGTACAAGCCAATTAAGGCTTTTAAGAAATAAAGAAAGAAGTGGAAGTTTGACAAGACTTATCGCTTTACTTATGATATAAATTATTATATATATACTTTTTACAGTATCGAAAACATGGCGAGAAACCGACAAAATTGGAACTATTCCAATTCACTGCTGCGACCCTGTTCTTCTGTAATGCTGTAATGTCCAATCGCACTGCACAAAATATTATCGAGGAGGCTCAAGCCACTACTATTAATAACTATAGAGCCACATTGCGGAGCAATAGGCACAGGTATGATGATTAACAAACTTACCTTTTCCAATAATATTTGTTTTTTGGAATTTTTGAAACTTTTTGAATTAAAAAATCACATAAGTTATGACAAACTTCATATCTGACAAAATAATAGTAATTATACTGATAGAATAAATACTTTAAAAACAACGAAAAATTTATGTTGTGAAAAGTTTGTCCACATGACTTCATAACAATTAGTTGCGCCAATATGTTGTGAAGAGATAACAAACAAACTCACAAGAATTTTCTTTAAAAAGTTTTCTTACAAAATATGTATGTGTATATATATAATATATCTATCTATACCACACCAAGTACCTTACGGGGTAGGCAGAGATATATTTAAAATCTAAAATATATTACAGGAAAATATTCGACAAACTAAGTGCTGAATCTAGGAGAGTTCAAGGCAATATCCAAGGGAATACCGAAGTTATCAGAGGTATAAAGAACATTGTAGATAAAGATCAATATTTCGCAGACGTACTGAGAATTAACAAAGATGTTAATGAATATAAACTAAGGATTTCGATGACAGCTGATGGAAACGTAAATTTGAATTCTCAACACAAATTTCATCCCTCAGAATTAGCTAACATAGCTCCAGAGGAGAGGACTCAATTATTTAGCACTCTAGGTCCAGCTGTCGTCGATTCTGCTAATGTGCCTACACGTTTCATGTCTTCGACGACCGCTATCAGACCGTCTATTGATGGTGAAGAAGAGCGTAACATACTGGTAGGTATCCATCCAGGAGAAGTGTTACGTATCGGCTCGTTACTAGTGCGAGTTAGTGCATCCGGTGCGGAAAATGTCGCTCTGCTTCTAGAAAATCTCAGTCAAGATGTGTACGCCAATTTGATGACTGTCACATTCAATATGCTATCACAATTGCTGCCAGAAGAGATAGCAAAATTAAGATTACTTAGTCCAGATGAAGATCTGATCGTTCAAATAGTGAAATTTGTCTTTAACTATATGAAACATGAAAGACCTCTAGGAGACGCTTGTCGGGAAACTGACAATGGAATCTTTATAGTGCTAAAAGAGTTCTTCCAAGATGGAGTTGTTCGCCAAGACACCATACTAATACTGAAGAACTGCCTCATGGAATGGATTGAAGAAGAAATAGATAAAAGACGTGTACTTTATCCTAGTAAGAATCAAATTATTTGTTCCATTTGCCAAGGTGTAAGGTTTGCATAATATTATCTAATTCTCATCATAATACAAGATTCAATTAACGGCCATTAGGGGTAGAGCGAAAAATTAATACAAGCTTTGTTATTTAAAGTACTATCGATTGCTATAGGTATTTATTATAAATATTATAATACATTTAAATTCCATCAATATCTATAACATTATCGATTAGAAAGTAGAACAAGGCACTATAGATTATGCCTGCATTTTTCAAATACAAAGGCTCTATTTTATATTATTAAATTATGTGTTGATCCGTATATAATGAATCGACATACAAGCAAACTAGGTATATATGGCAGCAAAAAATAAAGATGTTAAAAAATACATTCACTTAAAAATTACTTAAAAAAAATCATAAAAAAATATATTTCTAATTAATATATCAACTCGCTACTTAACTACCAATGTAAGCGTTATAATTTATATGTGGTATTTACAATTCTATTAAATTAATTATTATCTATGAATCACATACGTCATAAATGTATTGTGCCTAATATTATAAATCAATGTCCAATAAAATATAATGCTATTATCTCACAAAAACGAAGGTATAGATAAAAATTACATTGAAATCAATACATATCAATTTCGCTAAAATATACACATTATAAATCTATACTATATTTGTATACAATAAGACACTTTAGCGTTAATACTGCCCTATTACTTAGGGGCCATCCATTCATTACATTACGGGAGAAAAGGGATCGACAATGTGATATTGTGTAATAAGGAATGAGAGGAGTCATAAATTTCGTGACCATCTGTATCTTACATTTATAAACTAATTTCGGAACTGCTATCTTAATTTAATAATTTTTAGATGTAAAGTTCCAAAATATGTGCCGTCATAGCTGTGACAAGCACGAGGGAGAGGAAATGTTAAATTCGCGTGTTGTAATTTATGGGTAGCCCCTTATCTATAATAACAAGATATAGATATGTAAATATCTACCTGTGTACCTATATTTGTCTGCGTTATCAACGTAAAAAATAGTCTATATCTTTGTCCATCCCAAACACAATAACAATAGGTTGACTTGTTGATCCGTCAAGCAACATTTTCATATTGATAATATAAATAGAGATGCTCTCACTGTATTTAGGATTGTCACATATAATTGGTTATTCTATTATAATTATTTTGTTTAATTCCACTACCATTAGTATGTGTGTCAATGCAACAACCATCCAACACGCGACGATTGACCATCATTTTCTTCTTCATCTTCTGTGGTAACAGAATTAAACAAAAAAATTCTAATCAAATAACCAGTAATATGAACTTCCACAATATAACACTTAACAGCAAAATGTTACATATAAATTGAAAAAATATATATTGACTATATTTTCTAAAAATATACAAAAGTTAATCTTTGTAGGTACTCACCAAAGAAATATCTGAGGAACTCTCTCACTAATAGTAGTAATAATGTACACTGTATAAATTCTTAGAAACTAATTTAGTGTAGTCTTGAATTTATTAACTTATTGTCTTTGTCATTACTGACAATTTTTTTCCATTTCATCCGGAAATTTGTTTCATGAGGCGTATAGCGCTTTGCATAACAGCATCTCACCTTGCATGAAAACGAGATAAGTGGCATCCTTTTAATGTTCTATAAAATGGATAAGTTAGTATGAGAAGCTCTAATTTTTGTTATTTATTGAATCATGTTTCTTTAGGCGAAATATCCAGTTTCACTGATAGAACATTATTTCAAAGGAATCCTAATTATTCCGATTTCACTCGATATATTTTATATCGATTTTCAATTTGTTCACTATATTTATTTATTTCTTTGTATTACTTAGATATTATAATTTAGTACCTAAACAAAAATTCAGTGATACAGTGAACTATACTGTGATATTTAAAAATAAAACTTTATACAAAAGATTGCAATTAGATATTTATTATTAATATTATTTGTGATATATCAACCTTTTATAGTATAACAAACGCTGTGCCTTGTTTATCTCAAAATTAATTGGTATTCCTAATTATTGTAAATACATTAAATATGTTTTATATTCATATTACATATTATAAGCACGTAAAAGTATCCTAATTATTAAAAACACAACATTAAAATGTAATGCTTTGTGAAATAAACTATCAATCATGTTTCGTTATTCATATTTCATTTTGCCTCTTGTTTACCATGTTATAAGTACCTGCCTAAATATAGATAAATATCCTATTCGATCTATCCAAATATAAGCAATTTTTTTAGTTTAAAAACATGAATCAATTTGTATTTAAGGTAAATAAATATATATCTTTGTAATCCAACAAGATGTAAATTAGGATTATTGTTGAAAATTATGTACATTTTTAACGTATATTTTAAATGCATCCGTTCCGAAAGGACTTACCGTGACACGATAAATAGTACCTACGCGGCGAGTTGCACAACGTGGTTACAGCAGGACTAAAATGAACGGCGTCTACTGGCAGCCCGCGTAGTTTCATTGTCCACCCTCACATCGTCACTATTACTGTCTATATCCACCCTTCAATAGAACAAAAGCCAGTGATTAAAACGCTCAAGACATGCTATAATTTGTTTAAACGCATTCTGGATACCGTGAGTACGTAAGTAGTAATATAAAATACATACGTCAACAACAAAATTTTATATTATTTAAAACGTAGACAGTAAATTACCGTTAATATTATATATGGTACAAGCAGTGTTGCTAAATACAATCTGCTAAAATTAGATATTATTTGTACTAGGATTTAAATTATTAAATAATACGCGCAGTGTTCTTTTTAAGGGTACATTAGAGTAATGAAAATATATCAATATATCAAAATTATCAATCAAGGACGTGATTTCACATCAAACATGGAAGACAGACAATAACGGTGTTGCTATATTTCTTTAAAAAAAATTAACTTTAGCAATTTGATCCTAATTAACCCATATTTAAAAAAGGAATGGCATATATCTAATCACACATAAATAAATGTAATTAGGTATTATATGTAAAGAGATATTATACTCTTATGTTTTAATATCGTTAAGAAAAAATTCAAATTACTCAAATGCCACTAAATGTTTCGAAAATTTGCTAGGTTCTTTACTGAAGTTCTATTAGGTCTGTTAATATTGCCAAATTATCATAATTTAATAGTATTACAAGAAACATATTCTTTCTTTACCGGTAGCTTAAAATAACCTAAAATAGTTAATGATTTTAGTAGAGATTGCTTAAATAAATTGCTACCCAGTGATAGTCAAGTTGAAATTGTAAGTTAATCGCAACTTCCTATTTAAAGAGTGTTCGAAATCACTCAATCCAAATAGGTACGACGTTATTGAAAAACTATTTAAAAATTTATATAAGTACCTACTAATAATACAAATAACTTTAGAAAATAATTATCTTATTATTTCCAAAAGTTTCATTATCGTCGTGAAATAGATTTATACTCGGCAGTTTATTCAGAAGAATTTTGAAATGAAAACCAAAATAAAAATTTAGAGGTATTCTCAACTAAAACCACAGATAATTTAGAACATTCAATACTTTAAAATGGCAACACTTTTCCTAATACTTGGTAAGTCCCGTCGTCATTCTTTGTTCACATTTATATTTATATCACAAAACAGTTCACAAGGTACCATTATGAAAGTGGTGCTGTTGCGACACAAACTATATTAACCGTGCTCAAGATAAGTTATGTATTTTATAATAAGTTTTAAAGCATCCATCTTCAGCAGGTAAGATGTATTTATATCCATATTGTTTTTTGTATCACCATTGCTATTCATAGTTACATAACCTAGATAGGTACATGAAGATAAAACCTACGACGCTATTTAAGTAAATGTCTATTTACCTAGCCATTATATATTTAGATAATTAAATAATTTTTAGATTTACATATTAAGAAAAAAGCAGGTGGCTTAGAATCATTTCTTATGACAGTGTATGAGAGAAATCTATGTTTAGCTCTGGACAGATAATGGCTGGGAGGATAATGAAAAGTCAATAAATGGCATATTATGAGTATAGAAGCAAATAAATTAGTATACTTACTACATAAATATATGCATTATACATAAGTCTCTATACAATTTTTACTTATTCTAAAATATATGAGTAGTAGTGCGTAACTCCAATATACAACGCTTCGTGCCGTAATGTAGGTACATAACGGACGTATAAACTTAAAGGACTGACGTAAGCCCCTAAATCTGTCTTATAATGTTATTATATTATGTAGAATAAATAGATTTTCCTAGTTTTAATATAATTATGAATACATATACTTACATATCTAGTGCATAAGTACTGTACACAAGTAAAATTTACAATTACGGACTATGATTTTGAAAAAAAATCCTTATATTTATCATTGAATTGTCGGTGTTCAGTGGAAATATGCAGTTTGTATAAGTGCGTACAGACTACTAGAGTTCAGACACAACACTTGATTACATTCGTATAGTAGGTAAGTGACTCGTCTGAGATTACGTCGTCGCTTTATTTTACAGCGCGAATAAGTCCACCATCTTAAAAAATATATTTATAAGCGTCTATTATTTGTAACTATATTTACGTCATCGCTTCTGAATCTACTTTTACAATTCTTTTTACAATTGTTAGGGTTTCCTTCTACATTGATTCCATACTTTAATTTTCTTACGATTGCAAATGTCATTTATCTTTGCGAAGCATAAAACTGTTCGTTGTAAAATAAAATTTAATTATATTACCTACGACAAATCTCGTCTATATGGTCTTATATATATATATATATATATATATAAGACCATATAGGTAGGTATATAGGTAGTATAATATCATATTTATATTACTATCATAAGGAAGGATTGTTTTTGTTTGTAATGGTTAAACTCAAAAACTATTCAAATTATTTCATTAAATTTTTTCACCTATAGAAAGCAACATACATAAGTATATTCTTTCAGATAAAAAAAAAATCTAAATCGCTTTAAAACTTGCTGAATTAACGTCAAAGGAAAGAAAGTAACAAGCAAAAAAAAATTCAACCGAATTGAGAACCTCCTGCTTTTTGAAGTTAGTTAAAAAGAACTAATATGGGTATATTATATATATATTCTGTGACTATACATCCATAACTATTAATATATATCATCTGTGGTTATATATATATATATATATATATATATATATATATATATATATATATATATATATATATATATATATATATATATATATATATATATATATATATATATATTTATCATATTTTTCACACCAGTAACCCGAAATTAGCAGAAAACGACTAAATAGGAAAAATTAAAATGTTTATAATCCTACACCTTTTTCTTTTCAAAATCCAAATAAAATTAATTTTGGAACCAGCAACCCCAAATTAATCAAAAACGATAGATACCCATATCGATAAAATAAATATTTTCGACACCTGCCATATTTTTTCAATGCGCAAAATCGTCAGTTTTTGCAACCCTATCCGCCTGACCTTATAGTGTATATCTAAGCGGCAGGATCTTGTGCTATTGCACGATTTATTCCACAATTATATACTAATTTTGATGATTCATTCTGGAATGTAATCTTAAGACGTTTAAATTGGTTGACAAAATTTGCAAACTTAAACCTAACTCTCTTATTCATAAAAATGTAACATAATATATATAGTAATATAATATCTATTCGGGACATTGTTGAATTATTTAATATGGAAGACTAGAATGTTTTTTGCCGTTTTTAAATATTTTTGTCCTAATATATTTATTCTATACCATCGGTAAATTCTAAGTTTTACTTACAGCTAACAAATTCTATTTCATCCTGTATACCTAAATTTCTATTTTGAATAAATAGTTATATGTCATAATAATCTATATATGCAATATGATAAGCAATAATAATGATATTATTAAAGTGGGAGAGTATGAGTATAAATGACTAACATAAGAAGTTTAGAGCCCGAATCGCAGACATGCGTTCGTTCCCGTAAGCAAACGGCAAACAAATCTGTGGATGGGTACATTTTTTCTATCCACGCATGCACGTTTTGCGAAAAAGTGTTCGTTTTGAACAAAATAGCAGCCGAAAATTGATGGTTGATATAAAAGGTTTCTAGTATTAATATGGTGGTCAATCTACGAGTGTTGGCAGTCAAATACATACTAATGGTGGCGGAAATAAACAAAATAATTCTAATAAAACAACGAGTGATACGGATTTCTGCAAAATAACACCCTAGTTCGTAAAAAAAATAAAACTGTACTTTTGAATAACTACCCTCAAAAAATAAAGCAGTGAGAATTGGTAGTGCAATAAGTTTCTTAAATATTTTTGTTATTTTATAATATTTTTATACTTTAATGTTTATAAATAATATTAAATATATACAAGAATAAACATTGATAGTGTTTTATTTATTGCTGTTTTGAGAACATGTTATCTTAGTTTTTAATGATATTTTCTTTCTTATGTTCGCCCGACAAAGGCGCTGGATTATACTCGAAAAATTTTGCTATAAAATACCTGTGAAAAAAATGAAATTGTTTTAATTTCTATTTTACATTCACAATATTATTAAACATGTTAAACGACATAAATCGGTGGCGTAATTATTATATAGATGATATTCATATATATAAAAATTATTTATATATTGTTAAAAGTTTATAAACACACATTATATTTTAATGTAATAACTAATACATATAATATAATCACAGCAGCTCATGATCAAGGATCACGAATTGACTCCAAAACTAGTCGAGCCTTCTCTGTCTAATTATACGTAAATTAAACCAGTGGTTATTACATTAAAATTATATATACGGATGTGCATTGGTGGATTTACTAATAAAATTGTATTATTTATATAGAAAATGTGTCATTTGAGAACGACTGGACTGATTTGGTTATTTTTCGATGTCATAGAATAGTTCGAATTTTAGAATTAAAAAAGAAAATTATATTTATTTTCTTTTGCGGATAGACAAAGAAACAATTTATATTGTACATAGTCTTCTATTATGAATGAAAATGTGTCGGAATTAATTCCAGTACCTACTGATTTCAATCGTGACAAACCTAATATTGTATTAATCTTAGTACTAGTGAACTCATTATACATATTTTAAAACGAATAATGCGGCTGAATGACTCATTACATCACATCGAAATGTTTAAATTTAGAAGACAGCGTCGTATGTATGTTTCATTTTGGTTATTTTTCAAAATACCCGAGCTTTATGTATAAATAATCACCAATTAATCACTTGGTTCACAACATATACAAATTATATTTTGCATGGCAACAAGTAATTTATTGCACCGCAATTATAAATGGCGAGAAAAACTTAATCGTTACAAATAGAATATGATAGTTATATAGAAGCAGAATACAAGTAAATTGAAAAGAGAATCTCCTTCTTTTGCGAATTTAGAAATCATTTAAATAATAAAAATTAATTACCAGACAAGTATCTCTATGGTTACAAGAACAGTTGCACCAGCGGTTTGTGCAGCAACTTTAGCGGGATCCGCGGAACTGCGCAAAGCAGCAGCTAACATAGCGTCACCCGCGTCTGAAGCCGCTTCCAGTGCTGCCACCAACAGTGCTGGTGCTGCTAACCAGCGGGCCCCGCGCCTCCACCACGACTGCTACGTTACCATAACAATTTTATTTAGCAAATTATTTATTAAAGGTCAGAGGAAATCCTGAAAAGCTGTGGATGAACTGTGTGGAAGAAGTTACGGCCAGAAAAGTAGTGATAGTGGAAATAACTCTAAATAAAAAAGAATGGAAGAGAAAAATATATTACCCCGACTGTAAAGAAGCAATTAGGATAACACTAGGATGATAGATGATGATGGTTTTTATATGCAACATTAAAAAATAAAAGGCTGAAAATTCACCTCATAGAAAGACGTAACTGTCGCCTATAAACTTGAAAGTATTGTAAATATCACAGAATATATATAAAATAACCGTATCGTATCATTGAGAAACAGTTTTTTCTCGTCTCGTAACATATCTCCTTTAACCGAAAACTTCGAACGTAACGTAAAAAGTACTTATTGAGCCGACGTAGTCTAATCAATTATAGAGAGAACCTTCTCTTTTTGCTTGATTGCAAAAAGACCTATTTCTAAAATTTTTATTTAATATTACAGCCAAATCTTTATTCAAAGGACTAAGTTTCTAATAGATTTAAGTCAAAATGTTTATAAATTTAGTTTATGATAATCCATAAAACAATAATTTCGCGAAATTATCTAATTAAAATATTAGATCAAGAAACAAGTTTAGAGAAGGAGCGTATCATAATCTACCCCATTGTTCCTGTGTCCCTATGTCTGTCTTACATGAGAAACTGTCTCTAATAAAGTAACAAATATAAATAATTAAATGTAATATCAAATTACAAGAACATGAATTGCTAGTATTTGCTAACTAAGTAAATATCACTGTTACATAATTTGTAAAGTTACCTTAGACATAACAGCAACCAGGAGTAGTAACGAAGTTACGGCTGTCACAAACGAACTAAGTTTACTATACCCCATAACGAGTCGAATAGTGGGCTTCGTAATTCTAAAAGAAGTTATAACGACACAGAAATAATATACTTACTAATATATCTACAACTATATATAAAATTAAAGGTCATAATATGCGTCCATTCTTTCTGCTTATCCCATTTAATTACTGGAGTGAAAGGATTCTTATAATTAGGTATATTGAAATTAATAGACTTGGACTTAGGTGTTATTCCTCTGTACCCTGTAAATTCACGCCCACCCTTCAAACCGAAACACAGCCATGCAAACACAACTACTTTACGGTTGAAACACGAATGGGACAATGGTACCCAAGCAATCGACTTTTGTACAAAGTATATTATTGTTATTGTTGTCCCTCTGGTATATTGTTGTTAGTAATAATGTTAGTAATTATGAAGCAAAATTTTTATATCAATAGATTCGATATTCGTATATTTACACACACTAATAATGATCATTCCAGTTTATAAAACGAACTTACTTTTTGAAAATTTGTTTGAATCAAACTATTTTAGGTTGTGCCTACATAACTTTTGAGTGGTTTCTGATAATACAATATCCTAATTTGAAAAAAAAAAGACAATATGATTTTGTAACACATCATTGATTATGATCATCTGATAAGATATTGGTGGTTAGTGATTTAATATTATATATATATATATATATATATATATATATATATATATATATATATATATATATATATATATATATATATATATATATATATATATATATATATATATATATATATATATATATATATATATATATATATATATATATATTCTATATTCTATATATATATATATATATATGACAGCACAAGCTCTATTTATTTCAATCTGAATAGAGCTGTTATCCAGTGTTATTTATTTATAACTTTTTATAAAGCAATAAAACAATACCTTCGTACGAAGCTAACGTTGCTAAGCTTCTGTGCCACATCATTGTCTTCTAATTCCAGTTCGACCGGCTGTGAAGCAAACGCACAAGCTGACATGGACACACCTAGGAGTGCCACCAGAAGCGCGCGGAGCTTCATGCGTACAACATCAGGAGAGTCATTATTTAAGAGCTTCGACTGCCAATGAAAGTTATTACAGTCAAATACAACCAAAAACTTGACTAGGTTTAAGTGATGACTACAAACAGTCCTATTTGTGCTAATTTTAATATAAATTTGTAGGTTAGTTCAATTTAATCTGTTAGGTTTAAACTCTCAGTCAGCATCAATTGTCGTGTTATCTTACACCTAATGAATCAGTGAGGTAGCAGTCTATACCTTGCCATTTTTGAATAGAGATAAACAGATAGAGAACATGGTGATTTATTTACTGATTATCTAACACTGTTGAAAATAGGGTGTCCTCTATCTAGATAGACTGATGATATTAAGAAGGAAGTCAAAAGTGAATTATGAAAATCGTATTGATAAGGTGAAAGGCATTGAAAAAGCATTGATGGTGATGAATATAAAAAACAACTATTCACAAACCGTATTCGCGTGATTCTCATGTTTCAGTCGAAGTTGATCCAACAAATTAATACTTTCAGCCTCCATCCTCCTTTAGAAGTTATAAGATTTCTTCATTATATTAGTTGTAGGTAAAATTCCATGAGTATCACACGAAATACCACGTTGGGTGATATAAATAATTAATATGTAAATAATAATTACGTCATCATACTAAATTAATAAGCAAATTATTATAGAGACAGGTGTCAATTCTATTTATTTTTAATTGAACCATTCCTATATCCAGCCAGTTGTTTTGTCTTCAATTGTTATTGTCGTGAATGTTTTGTGTAAATGAAACTGGAATTGTATTCTGTAACATAACCAGCTACTCTCAATATCGATAGTAGGTGTATTTTTTAATGGATAATAATGAAATTGTAACCCCGCCTGCGCTAACATTATACGCTGGCAAAGCACCAGAGAAGGATAATAGGTGAGGATGGAAACACTGGTCAGTTAGCCCGTTGTGATGAATACACAAAAAATTCAGCACAATAATTTCCAGGGGAAATCATGTACCACCACCACCACCTCATAGCGTATATTGCTAGCAATGGAACAGGTAATCCATACTACTTACAATACCGTCCCCCACCAGTAGGTATATTACGAGATATTGTCTACAGATGAAAGTTATTACTTTCGTGGGTGGATGGACCGTTGGTTTATTTACCATTGCAAATTGTTAAAAAATATATAATTTCATAAAAAAAATTAATTTATTATATATTAATTAACAAATTTAATTCCTTAAAACCAGAGGAGTTTTAGTACAAGCCTATTTTTATGTAGTGCCATTGGTACAGATACAGCTTGTACATCTTTTCGAGAATATTATTTTTATTTAGATTTTGGTAATTTTTTTTCTACAAAAAAGGAAAAATTTCTCTTTTTTTTGCAAAATGTTTAGGTACGTGATTCACTGTTCATCACAAAGCTTAACTGTTAGAGAACTAGAGTTACTAACATGAAGTCTGCCTTTTGTACCATATTTTCTTTTTGTTAATAAAATATTTAAATAAATTAAATATATAAATTATTAGTTGACAACAGACACCCCCCTTAATATATATATATATATATATATATATATATATATATATATATATATATATATATATATATATATATATATATATATATATATATATATATATATATATATATATATATAAATAAAAGTTTTTTTTTCTACTACTTAGAATGGCAAACAAGCTGACGGTCCACCTGATGAGAAGTGGTACCGTCGCCTATACCGTTTCGCCCATGATACCGCCCATGATTACGCATGGGGATGCGTTGCCATTCCTGAGGAAATTTACTGTTCTTTTTTCTGCTAGTAATTAAAGTTGATATTTACTGTTTGATGTTTACGAGGGATGGGAAGTGTGACAGAGATATTGAGAGGAGAGTAAAAGCGGGAAACAGTGTTAACGGTGCACTGCTCTCGATTATGTCAAGTAAAAATGTATCGAGCAAAGCTCGCCTTGCTATAATTCAAGGAGGGATCGTGGGTATGGCAGAAGAAGCATGAAAGTAAGATAAATGCTGTACAGATGAGAGCTGAGAAGTATGTGTGGTATTACTTTAAAAGATAGAGTAAGAAACAGTGTGATTAGAGAGAAGTGTTTCGATGTAGTGACAAAAATTGAAAAAGGAATGTTGCGTTGGTTTGGTCATTTGGAGAGGATGGATGAAAGAAGAATTACGAATGAGATTTATCGAGCAAGAATGAATGGAGATGTCGGTAGGGGCCGCCCTAGACGGACGTATGTCGACCAAATAGGCGACGTGCTGAAGAAGGGCCAAATTAAAAGTACCCGTAACCGACGAGCGTGTATGACAAGATTGATGAATGTGGAAGAAGCGAAAGAGGTTTGTTTGAATCGAAGCATTTGGCGTTCCATTGTTTCTGCCTACCCTAATGGGAGACAGGCGTGACAGATATGTATGTATGTATGTATTTACTGTAAAAGTAAATTATAGATTCATTAATAGAACTATACAGTACCGTAGTAAAAATATGAGATTTACTATATCTGGTAGATGCATACTCTAAGGGATGTAGAATATAGACTTAGTATAATGTCCCTAAGATTGAAAAGGACATAGGCTACTTTTTATCCCGATCAGAAACATATCGCGAACACGTGAACGCAATCGCCGTAAAAGCAATAAAATATATATAATAAAAAAAAATTTGAAAAGGTTATGCAGTATTAGAGAATCCAGAATATAATGGGCCACTTCTTCTTTTCCGTGTATCTCGTAAGAAGTGACCGAGGAACTTAATGATCAAGGGACGAGAAGCAGCGTCCTTCTTAAAACATCACGAAAACTTAACTGCGGTTTCCGATCCGCCTGCCAACCGTGGCAATTATTGGCAAAACCTCCCTTTTGAAAAGGCTCATAGACTTAGTAGTCCCATTAGGGAGGTCTATGTTCAACAGTAGACAGTTAATGTCTGATGTAATAATAATTCTAATGAAACTTGTTTCAAATAAAAGATTAACGAAAATATAATATTTTTATTTGAAGTTTGGAAGTCCATTAGCCATTACATATTTTGAAATCACTTATTTCTTTACTTTTTTTCTTACTCCCAGTAAAGCCGCAACCGGTGGTTTTCAGGTGAAAGTAGTGATTTGTTAAGCTATTAAGGCAATAAAAGCAGTCAAACATAAACCCTCGTGGACCTACAAAAGATATCTCTAGATTAAGTTTTCATGTACGCTCTATAAATGTTGAACATTGAGTCAATAAAGTTTTTTTTTTTTTAAATAATACAACAATTTATAATAACAATAGTATCATTACAAAGAACAACTAATGAAGCTAAAGCTACTAATAAATAACAGGCTTTTATTATTTTAATAAAATACAATACAAACAATTTCAATTGTTGTTTCAAATGGAAATTGTATTGTATTTTAAAAAACTTTAAAAAGAAAGGCAAATTTAAATAAAAACTTATAGTAAATAAATGTTATTGCAATACATATCGTTGTTAAACGTGTTAGCACATTGTGCCAATAATGTATCTTGAATTACATACTTAGGGTGCATTCTATGACATGCAGCGGAAATCAAATATCCCAAAAATGGATGGTAACGAGACGTAGCTGCTATAAATGTGCCTTCAGGATCAATAGAGAGGATACAAGTTAGTCCTTCATTACAATAGACTTTAGATTCCGAATTACTTTCCGAAGAAGATTGAGCTAAATTATGACGTATTTGCTCTGGAGGGATATTATTATATAAAGGTCCAATACTGTCCGAAAGTAATGAAATATCGTAAATGAGAACAAGTTTGGGTACTTCTGACATATTTTGTGATATTTTATGTGAGTTATTTGATCCGTTTTCATAATTTACACTCGATTTAGTAAAATTTATACGCTCCGTTTCATCTCTGAAATATTTTTTGGACTTGTTACGTATATTGTACTGTACTATAGTCGTATTGTTTAATATATTTTTCATTGTGCTAATAAAATCAGTCGATGAATACGTATTTAAACCACTTGTATTTACAATTGCTGCACTCATGTTATTACCAGTATCATTTTTAATATTATTTTTATTGTTCATAACATCACGTTTATTTCTATGTGTTCGTACAAGTGATGTATTGAGTTCAGACTCATTTTCAGTGCTGAAAGTGCTAAATGGTAGTGTTGCATTAAAAAATGCGCGAGTATCATTCAAAATTTGATTAATTAAGCCACAAAACATTGAGAAAAATTCATATTCCTCTTCTCTTTTTACGTAATTGAGAGAACTTTTATATTCTTCAGGATTAATACCATCATTGTGCTGTTGTAAAATAGCGGAAATTCTTCGATCAATTCCCTGACGCCTATTATATTTAGAATTAAACGTCGCTAAATCTAAGGCGATTCCCGAATTTTGCCAAATCGAGAAAACTCTTGCATAAAATGGTAAGTAAGAAACTGGTATGTTTCTCCATTTATGTTTCAAAGGCGTCATCGCCATATACTTACTCATAGACATAACGGTAATATTCACATTCTTATATCTTTTTTGAAAATCTCGCAATCCTTGAAGGTTTAATTTATCGAACTTGTAAGAATAGTCCGGACTTGGATAATATATTTTACTAAAAAATTTAGAACGCCTGCAAAAAGCACTTTGAAAAGAGTCATCTAATAGAAAAAATACATTAAAATGAAGAATTGGATATTGAGTCGCCATGTCAGCTAAGTATTTCGAGTACAGTAGAAATGGTACAAAGCTATTGAATTGGACAATGTGATGGTAGTACACTTGGTTACTGGGCTTCATAGTCTCATTACACTTAAGTATCACGACAGGATGTCTTCGGATTGATCCCAAACTGACAGCATACATCGCGAAGAAAGATATTCCTAATAAAATACCAGTAATCCACAAGGCCGAGACGAACTCTGTAACATATCAGATATTTTTATATAATCATAGTCATTGGAATGTAATTTAGATAAATCTAATGTTTGGGACAAGTGAAAAAATAATACGTAAAACAAAAATGAGCAGGCATCAGGGACACCACTCATTAATGGCGCGTATATGAAACACCAAAATATTACTCTGTTTAGAACAATTTTGCAATCTTCAGACAAAATATACATCAAGTCGACTATTGTAAAAGAAAGAAAATCGATGTTTTAAGATCGGTCTTGTCTTTACCTCAATCTTTACATAAATATATACACCCGAAAAAAGTAAAACTAGTCGAGTGAAAACTAATAATTAACAATATTGTCTTATGTGTAATATCTAACCGGGCCATCGATCGAGCCACTGGCGTTTGGAGGAGCGAGTGGCATTCCATCCCGGAGCAACTATAATTGGAGGCGTTTGATTTATAGTACCATCACCTCCACCGTCCACCTTCAATAAAGGAAACTGCTCGTCGTGCTTTGCCTGTGGAGCATGCTCCACCATCTTACGTGCCTATGCATAATTTCAATTAACCATTAAAAGCGAATTTTTCAGAATTGGGTCGCGCCTCCTTCGGAGATGCAGAAACTATTAAAAAGAGGTGCGAGACATACGTGATATTAATAGTTGAAATATGTAGCATTTTATTGCATAACTAATTATTTTCCGTAATTTGACTTGTATAAATCAGTATACAAAGTATCCAATGTGTTAATTGTGTTGAGGCGATTAAGGGAACTGAATGGTTCAGAGATAGGCAGCAGTGTATCTTTTAAAATATCACCATAACCCTAACTGCGATTGACCAAGTAACTATTGGCAAATCCCTCCTTATGGAGAGGCCTATGTTTAGCAGTGGATAGTTAACGGCTAATATGATGATGATGATAATAGTCTGTTAACTTAAGATACAACCTAGCCGTTTAAGTGTGATTACATAACGAAGATACAAATATCCGAACATTTTTACAAACTTTTACGTCTATATAAGTAAAAATCAATTGTCAAGACAAAGTTGAATTAAAAACCCATACGGAAAAGTGAAAATTTTTGGGTTACATCTATGCGAAACTGTTGCAGGGAGATAATCATAGTATTAAAAGTGATCTTCACATATTTATTCAAAATGAAATTAAATGCAAAATTAATAGAAATAATAAATAATATCAAAAATATGACACTAAACTGGTATGAATATATAATATGAATTTATAAAGTTTTAAGAGATTATTGTTGAGTATGAATCTCTCACTCTATTCCTTGAAATAATAATGAACTACGAATATATAGCTAATTTAAGAAGTTATAGTCTATAAACAAATTATGTATTTGATTATTTGCATAATAACTTGCGTAAAACCGTAGTTGGCAAAACCTGCGAAGTACACTTTTATCCCTGTATGGGACAAGGGATAAAAAAATTGGTTTATTCATGGTACCTGATTGCATAGAATTTTATAGTAAGCTAATCATAATAATGAACCAGACTATTACTAGTACCAAAATATAGTTTCATATACGTTATATATATATATGTACATATAGCTCTAACTCACCTTTATTATCTGTCTGATTTAATTATAATTTTCTATTATAAAAAAAATTCAATCAACGTCTCTAATATCAACAATGACAAAAATTTGGAAGAATTCTAATTTTAAATTTAATGTCTATTTTTATTTCATAACTTTATAACGTGATAAAAATAATATAAGAACTTTTTTTAAACAATTAATTAGATTAAATCTTAGGATTTCTCCTTCTTTATAGAGCTACCAACACCTGGTAGGTACTATTCTTAATCTATATCTAAAATGAGTCATGGTGTAATAAGAATTATAATAAACTGTATATTTACTAAATATATTGTAATATTATTGTATTATACAGTATCAGGGCTCTATTTTACGTTATTCGGAGAGATCCATACGGGTCACGGAGTGGTGTACTCATTAAAGCTTAGACTGCAAGCACCCCGCTCCAGGCCACTCCTCTGGGTGGCGTTCGAACGGGTGGTCGTGCAAGTCACATTGTGACATGTTATTGTTTATTATTTCCTACATCTACCTACCATACTACAGAAGACACCACATGATGGATTTGAAATGATTGTAGGATAACTTTCTTGTCTAAGATTATTAAAGAAGATAAATAATAACATGTGATTTATCAAAAGAGAAAGTTAAATTGACTTATTCAATTCCCTATAAAGCGCAGTTATTATGCAAAATATTTTTTATACAACTTAGAATGGCGAACAAGCTGACGGCCCACCTAATGGAAAGTGGTAACCGTCGCCTAGTACGGCTTCTTGAGGACGGTGTTATTCCTCTGTACCACTTACCATCAGGTTGGTCGTATGCTTGATAACCACCTCAGTGATATAAAAAACAACCTCAAGTGACATTTAAATATATAGAATTAACAGGTATAAAAATATCTACTAGTTTTTATGAGCAATACCATGGACATAACAGTACACACACATACTGTTTCGCCCATGATACCCCCCATGCGTTGCTATTCTTGAGGACTCAGATGTTATTCCTCTGTACCCTGTAAATTCACGCCATATCCCACCCTTCAAACCGAAACACAGCCATGCAAACACAGCTGCTTCACGGTTGAAACACGAACGAGACAGGGACCCAAGCAATCGACTTTTGTACAAAGTCTCCCTTTGGTAAAATATTTGTTATCTATGAGTCAGCAACGCGCGCGTAATACCCCTGGTATTGCAGACGTTCATACGGTACGGCTACGGTAACCACTTACCATCAGGTGGGCCGTATGCTTGATAACCACCTCAGTGATAAAAAAAAACCTTAAGTGACATTTAAATATATAGAATTAACAGATATAAAAATATCTACTAGTTTTTACCCGCGACTTCCTCGTGACTGGGTGATGTGACGTGATATATTTATTTATTTAACACTTTATTGCACTAAAATTATAGGACGTGTTGAAGAATTTTCGAAAAATATCGTAGTACTAATATATTTGCTGAGGGGGATATGATGTAAAAGTATGCCTGCGTTATCGGTATAAACTGACAGATTACCAACATTGACAGATTACGAATTCAACAAGAATTCATCAGAGTGGTTTCCAAAGAGAACCTCGTGGAGGTCGACCTGATAAGGTATATTGCTAGATTAGTTAGATTGACCTCTCCATTACTAATAATTCCTCTCCCCCTATCGGCATACTCTGGCGAGACAGCAATGACTGATGATGATAGATATGTAAAGATGTCTGTCCATCTAATGAGCCCACATCAACTTACTGCTGGGCATAGGACTCCTACTCATGCTACTTGTAACGGTCCATTTTTGTCTTAAATATTGTAGTTTGACAAATTCATTAGAAATTAACCATGTTGATTTCCAGGCGTTTTTTTTTTTGAAATGGATGATAATGAAATGGTAACCCCACCCGCGCTATCGGTATACACCGGCGGGGCACCAGTGAAGAATGGTAGGTGAGAATGAAGTAGGTCAGTTAGTCCATCGTGACGAACTCAACAAGAATTGTTCACGATGGTTTCCAGGGGGAACCACGTGGAGGTCGATCTAATAAGGTATATTGCTAGCAATGGGGCTGTCAAACTCCATTGCTAACAATCCTTTTCTGATTTCCAGGGGTGACCGCGTGTATGTCGACCGGAAAATCTACTCCTTAATCTAATATCGATATCAATCTAATCTATTGCTAATAACAATTTTACACTGCACTCATGAAACAATAATTAGGAATTAGGTTAGAATTGGGTCGGTCTGTAGTAGTTTACATTAGCAAGTTACACTAATATGCATCTACAAGTAGAACCATTATGTCGTTAGTATTGCAATTCAGAATTTAGTTCAAAAGTAACCAACCTGATAAGGTATATTGTGGGGGCTATTAGTTCCCATCACAAACAATTCTTTCTCATATTGTTATCATATTTATACAAATATGAATTTTAAAATTCAAAGGAATTCTATCTTGGGATCTGCTGCTCACTTCCGTAATCATTTGTATCGAAACTCACTCGACTTTTGCTGAATTGGAACAAACATAAATGACAAGGTCTTTATCACATTAACTCTAATTCAGCAATATTTAATAACAAAGGTAATAGTAAGTCGTCAATACGTGAGACGAATCAGTTGTTGAATCAACATAATTATACCGGAAAGTGTACGTGACAATTTTTCAAACGAAACACGATTTTATATCGCTTAATATCCACACTAATTCTATATTACTTTTATGAAATTAATACTTGACGTGTGCTTTATGCTAATTTTGTATTTGTGATTAAAGGACGTGCTATTAAAGGTACGGTGATTCTTTTCATATATAAAACTATAATATAATGAATATTTGTTACGCATTGTTAGATAGATAATAATAAGTGAAAGAATAAGTCATTTGTGTATATAAAATATTGTGAAGAGTTTAGGTATCGATTCAAATTCAAATTTTTAATTTTTATGTAGTAAAAACTATAGATACCACTGTTTTGTTCACAACAAATTGCACTTATTAATTATAAATCTAGTGTTAATTGGATTTTTTAATCATATATACAGTCTTACAAATTCTATTAATATTACAAATATGATAGTTTTTATAGATGTTTGGATGTTTGTAACTCAAATACACTTAAATGACTGAACTGATTTAAATGAAATGTGGTACATAGGTAAGTTATTCACGTAGCTAAGATCACTAAAAACAACTAAGAGAGAAAAAATACAGCAATTAGAAATTCGAAAATTTGCGTATGGTCCTAGTAGGTGTGGAATTTATATTATCATAATAATAATTATAAATCTTTAGTTTATGTTTGATATCAAAACCATGTAAAAAAAACTGTAAAAAGAACTAATTTTTCGTTACACGTTATATAAGAAATTACTTCTGTGATTTAGATATATGAATTGAGGATAGTACTTGCTTAGATAGTATATGTCACCATTTAATTCCATTAATTAGAGAAGCCATAAATAAAGACTATACTTTACCTAATATATAATAATTAATTATATACGCCTATACTAATTTATTACATACTTTCAATAAAATATATTTTTTAATGAAATTTTAAGGTGTTTCTATATTAAATTAAAGAGCTAGTTGAATATGAATGTTCTCTATCATACTTGTGAATTACAAATAGGTTAATTATTTAACAACATATTTTAAAACTTTGAACCGATTTCAAAAAGAAGGAAGTTGTATTTTTTTTATGTTTGTTACCTCATAATTCCATCGGTTATAAACTAACTTGGACTTTTTTTTATCTGAAAGGATGTATTTACCTATTGGCCCCATAGAAATCAAAATCAGTTCAGTAGTTTTGTTTTTAATTCAAAATAACTTATTTTATCATAATTGACGTCGGTTTTATGAGACACCATCTTTTTTTATACTCAGTCATTTATTTTAATGCCTAATTACTTAAAAAAGTTTTAATTTTTTTTTATAAAATTTCCAATCACATATGATACGAGAATTATATGATATAATTTATGAACTCCTTTATTTTATGGAAATATATTAAAATTAAGAAATAAAAATCAAATCAACATGACATTGAGTACAAAAAATATTAGACTTCAAAAAAAATCCTGAGTAGACAATAATTTTAGGTAGCTATTCAATTATTAAGTAATTTATATATTTTTAATCAGTGTAATACAAGAGTTGTGACCCATAAATAACATAATAGTATTAACTTACTATTTATTTTCTCTATAATCAGTGATTCTATGGCCAAGTATGACTGACGCTTATCGGGAACAACGTCCTTTGTTAGGCGAAACCTTTGTCGATGAAGATCACTACAGTCCACAATATCCACGACGATTTCGACCCGTGGTGCTGAAGAATCGAACTAAGAGTAAATTGAGAGGGGCAGTTTCAATCTTCAAACGGTGGCCAAGTGAGTTATTTTTAATCGAATTATCATTATCACCATATCAGCTGTTAATTGTCCACTTATGAACAGAGGTCGTCCCCTCATGAGAGATTTTGCTAATAGTTGCCACGCTTGGCAGGCGAGTTGGCAATCGCAGTTAGATTTTGGTAATGTTTAAAGAGGGACGCTGCTGCTCATTCCTTGACCATTTATTCCTTTAGTCGTCTCTTACGATACCCGCGAAAAAGAAAGGGGTGACCTGTTCTATGCCGAGACCACACGGCGAATCGAATTATAATAACTTTTATTTTCTATGACTTAGGATATAAAATATTTCATCTTTTAAACTTTTAAAGTGCTTTATAAAATCTATTATAATATATTATAATGGGCTCTTACTGATTTCTCATAATATTATCAGAATATAAAGAACTACTTATGAAGACTTCTTATATATTCTTCTTATATATAGATATTATAATGTTTTAATTTATAATGATAACAATGAACAGTTAAATTTATTTGAGTTAAATTGCAATGAAAATTGAATGAAATAATGGCACAGATAGCTTTACCTCAAAATTGACTTCGAAAAATTAAAACTTACACTGTAGTCTGATTATTGACTTAATGTAATAAAATTAATTTAAATTACATCGAATAGACGCCAAATGGATTTTAGTAAAATTTGATCCGAATTCTATTGCGCTAAACGCCTTAATTTTGTGATTTCCATAACAGTACTATTTAGACTAAAAAAAAAGACTTTTTTGCTCATTTGTGCATACGCTAGCGCTATTTTCCGCTAATGCAATTTTCTTTAGCATATATAAATAGTGTTAGCCGTGTGGTCCTGGCATAGAATGGGCTACCTCTACCCGTTACTACTATAAAAGACGACTAAGGGAAATTATATCCGAGGGATAGGCAGCAGCGTCCTTCTCGAAACATCACCAAAAGTCTAACTGCAGTTGCCAACCAAGCCGTGGCAACTACTTGTAAATACTCTCAATCCCCAAAGGCAACCACCAAAAAGAAACGGCTATGAGTTCCTGACTGCTTCGTTATTCCTTACCAAGATAGCGGTCATGGTAACGGTGCTGCCGGAGTCGCTATGAATCTCAAGCAGAGAGTCGACTACCAATAAAAACGGCTGGACCTGGCAACATATAATGTACGAACTTTAAGGACCGATGAGATAATTCCGAAGCTTAAAGAAGAAGATATTATAAGATAATCTGAAGTCGGAAAACAAGGGAAGGATACGATGATCCTTGAAACCGGTAACTAGTTCTACCACCGGGAGGGCCAACGTCTATACCATGGTGGTATCGGGTTTATCGTTCGCAAGTTCCTTGTTAATAATGTCTTCAGGATCGAGAGTGTGTCGGCAAAGGTGGTATACCTGGTACTCAGAATTATCAATAAGTATTCGCTGAAGGTTATATAGGTATATGCATCGACATACACCATCGCCCGTAGCAATAACTTCAAATTACTTAGCGGGTAATGGAGAATTTGTGCTCGGAATTTCTTTGCGTGACAGAATTCGAAATGAGGATCGCTGCAAAAAAATAAAAAGTGACCGACATAGCCCGAAGGATAAATAAGCTGAAGTGACAATGGTTTGGTCACATATCTCAAAAAACCAATAACTAACAGGAAAGAAAGATTCTTGAGTGGCGACCCCGTATGTGTAAATGCAGTGTAGAACGACTCTCCACTAGATTTAATGATGACCTCAAGTGCATTGCAGGAAGTCAGTGAATGTGGGTGGCTCAGGACCGTTCCTTATGGCAGTCTATGGGGGAGACTTATGTTCAATAGTGGGCAAATAATGGCTGAGATAATGATTAAACAATACATCCAAACTATATAATTTTAATTAATTAATTTTAAAGCATTTTTTTATTTTCAATAATCTGAGTTCCTACTATAATTAAAATTATTTTATGAAGAAATAATTAATGTTTGTTACAGGTTATTGGTCTACTGCTTTTGTATATTGGTGGATCGGATTAGGGATGATTGTGATCACTACTTTCATTATATATAACGGATTTGTGGCCTTTGCGTTACTACCACCGGAACATATTTCCAGTCTAATGCCTAAGCCCATAACAAACAACAATGTAATAAAGACAACATCTAATAAAGATTCAATATTACTTGATGTATTTATGCACGTATTAATTGATTCACATGATAATATGGACTTTAAAACATATCTACCATATATTGAGATAATATCTAATAAATATTATAAATATAATTATCATCTTGTCATAATTTTCAATGATACTAACAATAGTGTCCTTAGTGCTGAAGAAAATAATGATATGGCACTAAACTTACTTTGGGATGAGACTCTTATTAAACCTAACTTATATAGAAATAATATTTTAATTGAATATACAACTTTATCAAAATATATGAACAATTCGCCTCTAAGAAAGTATTGGAGAAATATACCATCACAATTTATTGAGTTTTTAATTAGAGCTCTATCGATTTGGGAGAAGGGAGGTATAGCTTTCAATCCAACAGTGTTGACGCCTCAAACTCCGCATTCTATTTACATTGAAAAAATATATAATATACTTATGAAATATGAGAGTAAACTCTTAAATAATAATACAACTCCATTAAAGAAATATAATGAAGGAAATAAATACCAAGAAAAAATAAAAAGTAAAGTCAACAATATTCAAGATATTATCCATATATTAGAACTTGATAATAATTCAGAGACTAATAATAAAAATAATATTGATGAAAGTAGTAAATACTCTAATATGGTACAAATAGATACAAAGAATAATACTAATGTACTGAATAACAATGACTTCAAAAATGTATCTGATAAATATGAAACTTTGACAATGGCTGAATCTAAAACTGACTTAACAAATATTAAAACATATCATAAACAAAACAGCACTGATATTACCTCAAGTCTTTTGCCACTATTTCTTAAATTCTTATTCAATGACCTACCAATTAATAATACCAAAGAAAATTATTCAGATACATCTAAGAAAGTAATAACGAGAAATCGCAAAAGTGTGTTAATGTATGATGATAAAAAACAAAATGTTATTGATAATTATATACCAATGATTATACCCACCAGAAATAAAAATAACAATGTAGTCAATATAACAGATGTCAATGAAATTCCTAAAAATAACGCAGAAGAATTAACAATTGATTTAAAAGGAAATATAATTGCAACAAAAATACCTTGTCATGCTTTCTTAGGAACTATATTTAATAACATCAGTCACCAAAACAAGGACAAAACGATTACGGATTTTTTAATACAAGAATTGATTTTGTTTTGTAAAGGACTTTTATCAAAATGTAACGGTATTGATATTATTTTACTATAATTTAGCTGGTTTCTTATATTTATTGTTATTTAATTTGATGATAGAACATTAATGATATATATTTTGTTGATTTTTATTGTAAATATCGAATTATAGGTTATGAAATTAACAACAAGTTTTAATTGTAATAATTTATTCACAATATCTACCTTAAATCTTAAAATTATAAAAGTCGTGCTCAAAATATTGTGAGTATTTTTGTACAATATTTTGTTCACAAGTTATATGGCGAATTTTTGTTGTCATACCTTTAAGTAATATTGTAGTGAAGACTAGATGTAATAGTAAATTATGTTAAGATTTAATAAATTCTAAAATATATATTTTAATGAGATTCTTTAAAATCTTTTTCTCTATTATGGGTTCTAAAATGATAAGTTTTTGTATTTTAATAAATTACCCATAATCCATTATATTAGATTATACACTAAAGAAAATACTTATAAAATTATTGTATTGACTCAAATCGAGTAAATCAAGTTTCACGGGTCAATATTGCACATGTAAAATAGCATTTTTTTTTTCTTCAAATTGCAATGTTTCTTCTCTCATATGGAATTTCCCATCTATTATTCCAATCATTTGAAGAAGACTTGCAATCCTTTAAATTGGCCTTCTTCTCACATCTTTTACTAATAGTCCAATAATAATATCCTTCAGGACACTGATGCACGTATCCTCTCAATTTACCTGTTTTCATTATTTGACATTTAAGAAAAGCTGGTGAACATTCTATGTTTTTCTCAAATGAATAATAGCCAATATTAGGACATGATAATTTTCCTCTGCTAGCTATAATCTGTAAAAAGAAAAAGTATAAAAATTACACCTTTCATTGACAAAAACATATAACATAATTAGAATAGTTTATCCTTACCGGTTCTTTATAATAAAAGTTTAAACGTTTTATTCTTCGTTGTTGAGCTATTTCTCCGTCACATTTATCATCAGTCTTATTTTCTTCGATACACTGTATTTGATTTTCGTCATAAATAGTATTGTTCGGACAAGTAAATACAGCAATTTTTAATTCATGTGTGTCGTCGTCTTCGGTGCATTGGTAAAACATATTACAGTACTTAGGATGTCTTTTGAATGATGTTGGACAAACATATAAGTACTGATCATCGTCAGTTTCGGGGCATTTATTTGGAGAACTTGAGGTTTCTTCCGTTGTTGAACTTTCATTAGTACTGCTATCTGTTTGCTCTGTAGTAGTAGATTGTTGTTCAAAAGTTGTCTGTTCTGTACTTACTGCATTATCCGTAGTAGTTGATTCTGTTGTACTAGATTGTTGTGTTGTTGTATCTTCTGTATTCATTATTTGTTGGGAAGTACTTTCTTGGATTGTGGTAAGTTCGGTAGTAGTCTGTTCGCTAGTTGTAGATTGATCAGTTGTTCCTTCATTTGTAGATGTCGTTTGTTCTGATATAGTTGTCTCTTGAGTTGTTGTATATTCTGTTGTGGTTGTTTGTTGGGACGTCATTTGGTCAGTAGTAGTAGACTGTTGAGTTGTTGTTTGTTCAGTTGTTGTTAATTGTTGGGATGTTGTTTGATCGGTAGTAGACTGCTGAGTTGTTGTTTTTTCAGTTGTTGTTTGTTCAGTTGTTTCTTGTTCAGTTGTGGTTGATTGTTTAGATGTTGTTTGATCTGTAGTAGTTGATTCCTGAGTTGTTACATCTACTGTAGTTGACTTTTGAGTTGTTATTTTTTCTGTTGTTGTAGATTGTAGAGTAGTTTGCTCACTGCTAGAAATAGAGGAGTCGCTTGTCATTTCTTCACTACTAGTAGATAATTCTGTCGTATGATCTGTTGTGAACACTTGCGTAGACTCTTCTACGTTTGTTGTAGTAACTTCTTTTTGTGTAGTTGATTCTCCACTATTTTCACTTTGTGACTGTAGTCCATTACAAATGCGTGGAGGGTATACTGATTCTTCGTAATTACATGTTTCAAGTTGAGGATCCCATATTGTACCATCACCACAATCAAAATGGTACACTGAAAAACGCTTTCCATCTCCATCCCAGTCAACACATCTATAAAACTTCTTACAATCATTGGGGTTGGCATAATATCCAGCTTTTTCACAAGTAATATTTTGATTTATAGGTGATTTAGTAGAACTTTCCTGTGTGCAGTTGGAATTATTTTGTTGTGGACTTTCCGAAGTACTTGTGCTTGTGCTTTGGGATGATAATGTAGAAGATGACATGCTATTAGATGAATCAGTTGTTGAAGTATTATTTTCTTTTTCTTTGCAAGAAGGATTTGTTACATCTTGGGGATGATTACAAGTTAATATGTCCTGATCCCATACAGTGCCTTCACCACAAGTGTAATCGTATTTCGTGTATCCACCTTTTTCATTTTCAACACATCTATAAAACTTTGAACAATCTTGAGAATCACCGAAGTAGCCATCTGTTTCACATTTGTCCTTATTACTTGGTTTAGAACTTTCTGTAGTATTATTGTAATTTGTGTTTTCTGTAGTTTGAGATGAATCTTCATCCATCATTGGTTTATCTTGAGAAGGACCTTGATTTGAATTTTTACAACTTTTAACCTCCTGTATATGATTACAAGTCTGAAGATCTGAATCCCATGCAGTACCTTCTCCACATTTAAAATCATATCTTATATAGCCACCATTTCCGTTATCAACGCATCGGTAAAAATATTTACAATCATTTTTATTTGAATAAAAGCCTTCAGATGAACAATTTCCACTATCAGATAGTGATCCATTGGAATCATTATATGAATATTCGTCGTCTTGTTTGTCTGGTTTATACGCAGAGTTAGATTTTTCCGTTGTTGTTAACTGTTGTATACCATCCACGTATGTTGTTTGCTTTGTTGTTGTGGTTTGTTTATTACTGGAGATACAATTTTCAGAATCTTCATCATGATCACAAGCTTGTATATCTTGGACCCAAACTGTACCTTCAGCACAAGAAAACTCGTATTTAGTATAGCCTCCTCTGCCATTATCTACACAACGATAAAATTTCTTACAATTTGTAGAATCTCCAAAGAAACCTTCTGACATACATTGATCATTTTGATTACCAGGGGAGGAGTCTAGTTCTATATTTTCTGTAGACTGACTATGTTCAAAAGGTCTGGAAGTAGTATCAGTATTGTAATTACTTTCTGTTGAAGGTTTGTTGCTTTGTGTCGATTCAGCGACATCCTTATTTGAACATGTGTAGTTTGATAATTCATGGTTACATGATTGTATTTTTTGATCCCACATAGTTCCTTCTCCACACGAAAAATCATATTTGTTATAACCACCTTTGCCGTCATTTACACATCGATAAAACATTTTACAGTTATTAGAATTACTGTAAAATCCTTCAGCTTTACATATATTAGTAATTGTTTCTGAAGGATAACCCTGTTGCATACTTTCGGTCATAATATTTTCTGTAGATGTAGAATTTATTATATTGTTTTCTATATTCACTTCGTTATTATTAAATATACTGGAATCGTTACCATTTGTATTACAACCACTATTTTGTGAGTCATGATTACAAGCCTGTATTTTACTATCCCAAATAGTACCATCACCACAGGTAAACTCATATTTAATATATCCTCCACTTCCATTATCTACACACCTGTAGAATATTTTACAGTTATTTTCGTCACCGATAAAACCTTCTTGAGAACACACATTAGGTGAGTTTGGCTTTATGGTAGTTGTTGTTGTTGTTTCTAATTGTGGAGAATTTAAGTCGTTTTGCATTTCTATACTTTCCGTTACTATTTTCTCCGAGGAAGTTTCTAAATTTTCAGTAGTAATATCAATTTTACAAGAACTTTTATGGTTACAATTATTTATTGCAGGATCCCATACAGTGCCTTCTCCGCAAGTAAATTCATATTTAATATATCCTCCATTATTGTTATCAACACATCTATAAAACTTTTTACAATCATTGGAATCACCAAAAAATCCTTCTTTTGAACAGGTGTCATTATTAGATTTGATGGGCTTACGAGTTGTAGTATATTGAATATTTTCTGTTGTTTTATCGGATATATTATCATTATATATAGGATAACTATTATTTATTTCTTCCTCATTTAAAGGCTTTGGCTTTGCAGTAGTATGTGGAATATTCTCAGTTTTTCCACAACTTTCTACTGCCCAAGCATGATTACATGCTTCTATATTAGAATCCCATACAGTACCCTCCCCACATGTAAAATCATAACGTATATAATTTCCATTGCCATCATCTACACATCTATAGAACTTTTTACAGTCATTTTTGTCGCTCATAAATCCATTAGATGAACATTCATTTCCGTTAGTCGTAGGTTGTTCTGAAGTTATAATTGTAGTAATAGACGTTGAAGATATAGGTTTGTTGTTTTGAGATTCATAACCTACATCGTAGTAATCAGTATTATGTTGATTAGGTGAAGTTGAATGAATATGTGATATAGATGTTATAGAATCCATTGCTGTTGTTGTTTCTACTTTATTTATGTTATTTATATCACTTCCACCACATTTCTCAACTGCCCAACCATGATTGCATGCTTCGATTTTCGAATCCCATACAGTACCTTGTCCGCAAGAGAACTCATAACGTATATATCCTCCTTGGCCATTATCTACACATCTATAGAACTTTTTGCAATCATTTTCATCTCCAATAAATCCACTAGCTATACAATTATTACCTATATTATTGTTAGTTGTTGTAGATGTCGACGTAAAATATGTAAAATTATTCGTCTCCGATGAACTAGGGTAAAGATGCTGACTACCATATCCTATATTTTCAACTTCATTTGTTATTAATTCTGTAGGTGAAATAGAAGTCTGTGAAAATTTTGTAGTGCGTTCAGTAGTGGTACTTTCTTTCAGTGTACTTTTTGTGTTTTCAAATATTGTTGTATAATTTACATTATTTTCTGTACTCATGTTTTCTAAAGAAACTTTACTTCCACATTCTTCAACTGCCCATGCATGATTACAACCTTCTATCTTAGGATCCCATACAGTTCCTTCACCACACGAAAACTCGTGTTTTGAATAACTCCCTTTTCCATTATCAATGCATCTATAAAATTTTGTACAATCATTACGATCTCCTATAAATCCGGTTTTAGTACATTCCTGGGAAGTGGATATGCTAGTGACTTTAGTTTTCATTGTTGCATAATCCTGATAACCATTTTGCAGGAAAGATAAAGTAGTATGTTTGGATTGATTTGTGTCGACTTTTTGGATAGTCTTTTTTGCTTTACTTATTACAGGTGTTACAGGAGTTGATTTTACTGGTTGAAATTTGCTTATATTTGAATTAACTGTTTCTGTCACTCTTAAACCAAAATTGTTACTATTATTTTTTTCTATAATATTTTGTTCATTTTTTATCTTTTCATATGGCGTATTAAATATGTAATTTATATCGTTGAAATTTTTATCAGAATTTCCACGTCCACATCGTCGCCTCTTAACAGCCCATGCATGATTACAAGCTTGTATATCATCATCCCAAATAGTAGACTCACTACATAAAAATTCATATTTTATAAATCCGCCTCTTAAATTATTTACACATCTATAAAATTTTCGACAGTTTTCACTATCACCAATAAATCCAGTAGAATTGCATATCTGATTATTTTGTAATTTTGGCGGTTGAGTTATTAATGTAGGTCTATGATTTTTAGTACTAAAATGAGGATATAGTGTAGATATTTCCATATAATGCTTGGTTGAATTCCTTCTATTTGTTAGTATCTTTTGACTTTTTGTAGTATAAATCTTTGAGGCTGCGGTAGTATGTGAATATAAATTATTATGCTTTGTCGATACTATTGATGGATATTTTGTAGTAGATAATTTTATAGGTACAAAGTTTTTGGTAGTCAATAAAACAGAAATGGTATCATCTTTAATTCTCTCTGTATATATAGGTTGTTTAGTACTAATCGGGGAAGGGACTTCCTGATGTATATCATCAATTTCATTTTCAAATGTCGGTGCAGTTGTTAAAATGGCTTTACCTCCACATTGACTTCGCTTTGTATTTTGAGGATGATTACATATTTCTGTATCTGGATCATATACAGTTCCCGGTGCACATTGAAACTGAAACGTAAAATTGATCATCCTCAATAACTAATAATTTAATATTACAACGAAATACAATATTAATGTCCTTAATACATGTTAACCGTCTGTTTTTATCTATTGCTATGTAAATCTACTTAATGATACAAATAAACGAATATGTATCCATGGTACTGCTCATGTCTATAGGCGACGGTTACCACTTTCCATAAGGTGGGCCGTCAGCTTGTTTGCCATTCTAATTTGTATTAAAAAAAACTAAGTTGAAAATGAATTGAAAGTTTCTATATCAATACTTAGATTTTCTTTTCCATATGTTTTCTAAAGGTTATATTAAGTGAAATAAGTTAAAAAGATACATCTCTACCATTTTTGTATTCTTATACTTGTATTATTTTGGTATTTGCTCTTGCAAATAATAGGTAAGTAACATTATAAAAACCACTTCACACGATAAAATTTCTGGTAGTAATGGACCCAGCATGGGAGTAAATCCTATGAATTATCAGAATAACATACACAATTGTCAAAATTGCAACAGAATTGACGACATAATGTCAAATACTCTTGAACTAAAAACCTCTTTTTTTAAAAGTTATTTAAAAAGCTGTATTTTACTTCTCGTACGAGAGTGGCACCCTCTAGTGCCAAAAGTTTCAAGCGGTCTTCGATATATGTAAAAATCTCTAACGTGACTTGTAACACGATGGCTTTATGTATTTTCCGTTTTTGTTTCCGTCCGAAGAAAAAACCAGTGGCTGCCATTTTTTAAATGATCCAAATTTAAATTAAAAATTTAGAGTTTTGTGCTAGTATTCGATTTTGAAACCCTCAAACAATAAACAAGCGTTATTTGGTTGGATTTTGATCAATATAATAAATACAACGGTTATCTGTAGTTTTATTAATCGAAATACAAAATGCTGAATTTTTCTGCAAGCTATTAACTTATTTTAAAGGTCATCAAGGTCACATTCCTGTCATATTCAGTATAAGTATCATGATAAATAATCATCAGTAACCTGTACAGTTCATAGAACTTGAGAATTAAAAATACTAGGTAAATATATTTAAATTAATTTTAGAAAGAAAATTAATTCCTCTTGTCATTTTTGCTATATTAGTTAAACATTATTACATACTCGTATTTAAATATCTTTTGCTACTCACCCGAAATACTGTATATTTGCCCCTTCCAGCTTCCAAGCAACGGTAAAAAACTGTGCAATCGGACGGGTCAGCCTGAAAACCCTCTTTATGACACGCTACTAACTCGGGTTTTATCCTAGGATAGAGCTTCACCACTCGTCTATTAGATCGTGGTTCACGAAACTCTTCAGTTACTGAAATATACAAATATAAACATGATTTAATATAAAAAAAAATGCATATGAAACCGTCTTGTACTATAGTTATAGGATACTGGTACCTTTTTTATAAATTCTTTTGAATTATTTACATCATATTACTAATATAATATAATATACTATTCAAAACAAAATACAGACCACTTGTTTATTTTGCTATCTGAGCTGATTTATTAATTTTGAAGCATAGTAAAGTAGCTAATTCCTTAATGTCGTATTACTTTATATGTTTTTAAATATTTTTAAGAGTAGCTGGCATAATTGTTAAAGCAGATAGCATTTGTTTGTTTTATAATTACTTCCACACATTTCGAGATACAATTTATTTTATTAATCCTAAAGGTTCTGTGGTAAATATTTAAACTATTGTGTGAATTAACATTTCGAAAAAAAATCGAGGATTTGGAGACGAATTCCATATGAATTATAAACAGCAACTTAGACCGTTAACATTAGTCTAAAAAGGCTATTCGTAACGTTTTGTAGCTCTGATAAGTAATCTAGAAAAATAAAAAAATAGAGAGTATACAGAAGACGGAAATCAGGCAAAGTTGGCAACCAGTGTACAAGAAGCGATTAATGCTTTACAAATCGCAAATCCGGCCCCATATGGAGTATTGCTGTCACTTATGGGCGGGAGCACCTAGATACCAGCTTGAACCCTTCGACTCAGTGCAACGACGAGCTATGAGAATTGTCGATGATCCCATGCTTGCAAACGGTATTGAACCCTTAAGTCTTAGGAGAGATTTTGCCTCACTCTGCGTGTTCTACCGCTTATACAACGGATTGTGCTCAGAGGAATTATTCAATATGATGCCTACGGCCACTTTCTATCATCGTACGGCTCGCCATCGACAGGGAGTTCACCCTCATACCTTACAGCCTAAATGGTCGCGTACAACGCAGTTTCAGAGATGCTTTCTCCCACGAACGCTCTGGTTATGGAATGAGCTCCCTGTCGAGGTTTTCCCGAGAGACTACAGCATGGGGTTCTTCAAAAGGGGGTAAAGAGGTTTCTTCAGGGTCGGCAACGCGCGCGTAATACCTCTGGTATTGCAGGCGTTCATAGGCTACGGTAACCGCTTACCATCAGGTGGGCCGTATGCTTGTTTGCCACCTCAGTGGTATAAAAAAAAAAAAAAGAAGACTGCTATCTACGCTTAATTGCGCGCAAAAAGTGCCTCATCGTCGCCGGATTTTTACAAAGTCAGATTACGGAAACTCGCATTAGTAACCAAGCTGTCAGGTACCAGTTATCCAAAGATCAATCCTCCAGAAGACGCATAGTATAGACTCTCTAGACAAGTGGTCGTCATGCAAAACTATTGCTCCAAATCTTTGATGCCTCAACAGCAAAAAAAGTCATCAGAGCCTAGTTCGTCCGACGCCGGTACCTCCCTTGAACCTCAGCAACTCTAGACACTAGAGTCTATTCTAAATGGAGAGTCACCAGTATTTTAAGAAGTTCTGTTAGGAGTAAAGATAACTAGTTTCTTACAGATAAACCACAGAAAATGAATAGAAGTAGGTATCAATAATCTTAAATAAATAAATATGTCAAACTTACCATTATTATTGTCTTTGCTTCCTTCGGTAGCCAATAAAATAAACAAAAAGAGCAAACAATGGCTTATAGTATGCAATTCCATATTTAATAAACTCTATTTCTGATTTAGAAATACTTCTATAATATACACATTGTTCCGCCCTCGCTCCCTGTACCTGTAACAAATTTATTTAATGAAGTAAACTGGTTTATGTAATCTATAAATAATATGTAACATTTTAATTAGTACCTCTACATATGTTTTATTTGGATCGACATAAAAATGTATATATTTTTATACTACTATGGTGGCAAACAAGCATACAGCCCGTCTGATGGTAAACGGAGTTACTGTAGCCTTAAGGTGCCTGTGTAACATCAGGGATATCCCTGATGTTACACAGGCACCACGCACGCGTTGCCGACCCTTAAAAACCTTAACACGCCCTTTTGAAGAACCCGATGTACTATATATGTACATAATAGTGTGGTAAATGAGGTCAAGATCGTGTAAGCAAACAAAATAAGCCTATTTGGAAACTACGATCTTGGCAAAGATAGACAACAAAGCTGTACAATGCGACGTGATAAGATTATCTAGATAACGCTCAATACAGGCAAAGCAAATTCATTAGGCAAAAGTAACACTTCGTGTAGTGACTGAGTAAGAATGCAGATATGACCACTCCCAGGTTGTCATAAAAGAAGAATACTCGTAGAATCAATACAATATATGTACGTATATAGTCGTATGCAGAAGATCAGGTAGACCTCCATGTGGTGCCCATGAAAACCATCGTGCTGAATTCCAGGTATATTCATCACGATGGGCTAACTGACCTGTCATTTTGTTCTCACCTATCATCCCTCACTAGTTCCACGCAAGCGTATACTGTTAGCGCAGGCGAGGTTACCATTTCATTATCATCTTTAAAAAAAATATATCATCACCGCTTTTGGTTTTTTACCAATTAATGCTTACCGTCCTAACGATAGCCGTTTGTACAGAAAATTACTTTTGTATATAGTGCAGCACAATACATTAAACAATAAATTAATTTAATGCCATGAATGTAGTGTAGGTCAAGAGCAGCTTTGGTCAATGTTATTGGCCTCAATTGGCCTTCATAATTACGTAAGTGAAAACGTTTTTGTTCACGTTTATCGTAATACTAGCAAGTATTACTGACTTCACACGGGTAAATTGGTAAGTTCTCTATTTTTTTAACAATATATAGCCTATGTTACTCACTACTAACGTAGCTTTTTATCAGTGAAAGAATTTTTAAAATATATCAGGTACTTTTAAGTTTATCCATCACAAACAAAAAAATATTTCTTATAATAATTTTATTATAATAATAAGTTTATATTTATATGATATAGCAACCATAATTATTATGTTCCTCCTTACATTTTAATACTGCTATGGATACTTCGAAAAATATAGGTTCATATTCAAGAACTATTTTACCATAAGTTATGGAACTAAAAATATAGTTACGAGGCAGATGCACCGATGATATCGGGCTGCTTACTTTATTTATAGGTCTGTCTTAACACCATTTTTAAAACCATTGCATGCTGCTATATAACTCAAATGGGTACTGGTCTGAGCTTGTTATTTTGTTACTAAGAATAGACTTCCATAAATAATGGGAACAGAAAATTCTCTTTGCTTGTTATTCGTTCCACTTACTATATAGGTACGTACATTCTTTTTAATTTAAATTAGTCTATATTATGAAATATGACAAATATTTTAAAAGTGTGTAAGCAACTGTTGTTTCTGTTGTACAAGCAAAACTTGTATCTAAAAATAAAAGCCGTTATAATCGATTCTGTTATTTGTAGTCTCAGTTAAATTATTAGTATACTGTACCAAGCGTTGCTTCTGCTGGTTAAGCATTACTACAAGCAAAACTGGGAGAAAGGGATTGTTAGTAATGGTGTCTAACAGCCAGATCATTAGCAATATACCCTTTCAGGTTAACCATCGGAATCGGAATCTTTCAGGAAACCATCGTGGTTAATACTAATAGAATTCATCACAATGGGTTAACTGACCTATTTTCTTCCTCACCTCTCTTATCTCACCTTTCATCTCTCACTGGTACCCCGCCAACATATACCGATAGCGCAGGCGTGGTTACCACTCCATTTTCTTCCATGAAAAAAAAAAACTGGCAGAACTCCCCTTATAGGGAAAGCCTATGTTCAGCAGTGAACAGTTAATGGCCGATATAATAATAAAACATTGATTTTTTACTTCTTCATAATTAGGTATCATCTTAGTATACAGAGTATAATAAAATTGCGACTAGACGATATTTGCACATGGCAAATTTTTGAGAAAAATTAATATACACAATAGGGCTCTTAATAAGAGCAACAGAAACCAAAACAATATTTTTTATAAATTTTGTCTATCTGTCTGTATGTTGTTCCGGAATCACACAAAGTCTACGACACCAAATCGAATGTATTTTCACATTTCTATTCACCATTAAATTAGACATTTAAAATCTAGTATATATTTTTTCGTGATACGTTATTTAGAAGTGGTATATTTATTTGATTTCCCTGCTTCTGAAATACACAAGTGCAAAGTTAACAATATATAGCCTATGTCTATATATGACCTATATATAGTTAGAAACCTAGTAAACATATATTCCCATATGAATAGAATAGAAAAAATAAAGATGTAAACACTATGCAAATCTCAACGTACCTACGTTATATTTCTATAAGTAACAAACTCAAGACCCTAAAACTTACTACTGATATATACATTCTAATAATGTCTTTGGATTGGTATTTTAAATTAGGTTATTATTGCATATTGTGTTATTTATGCCTTAATATGCCTTTATTGAACTACTTTTAAAAATTATTATTTCATTAAAAGAATACTGAATTATATTGTAGACCACTAAACAATTACTGTATAAATTAGTACATGATTTATAAATGAATAAGTATACTCTATAATTTCTATTTTATATTTAATATATAACTGTTTGATGTACTCATAATTCAGAGACAGTTATATATTTACATTTTACTAGCTTTTACCCACTACTTACCATCATGATTTTAGAAGTAGGAAATCCAATAAAATAAACTAGTTCTAGATAGAATATCAAGAGATAATATACACCAGATCAGAGATAAGTTAAATTCTCAGGAACATATCTGTGAAAACTGTGATGCCAGAATAAACATACAAATAGACAGACGGACGTACAAAATTTCTCAAAATTATCAGACCCCACATATAAATTTTTCTTAAATATCTCCCGTGTCACATAAAAACATATCAACTACGGCTTTTTAGGTACAAAATAGGCAGAATATTTTGTCTATGAACCGAGAAACAAATTGTTTTCGAGAGACAATCACATAATTATTCTGACCCTTCGTTGTTCGCGTGACAATGTAGTTAGTGGGTATTATTATGTATGGCCTGGCAAAAACTCACAGATGATATCTAAACCAATGGTTATGTACTTACCTACTTGAAACTATAATAATGGAAAATACCTATATATACTTGCCTACGTATGTTATCTGGTTTATTTTAAAATTAACTACAAGACTTAAAAATTGTATTGTAGATTATATATTTGTACCGATTTGTAAATTTATTTTAAAACAAACCAATTTTTGTGAAGCATTGAATTATAAATGTGCTCGGTTATTTAATTGAGATGACTTTCAATTGTAATTTGTGGAACAATGTTTCTACACACCAGGCCGTATTCAGAAGCTTATTGCTCAAAGAGCTATGGAGAAAACTATGCTCGGAGTTTTTTGCGTGATGAGGAGTGAAAATATTCACAAAAAAACCAATGTAACTGACATAGTACCAAAGATACTGGTAAGTATGCTGAAGTGACAATGGGCTGATCACATAATTAAAAGAACTGACAACCGATGGGGAAGAAAGGTTCCTGAGTGGTGACCCCATACAGGCAACACACAGTGTAGGGCGATCCCCCACTAGATAAAGCGACAACCTCAAATGCATTGCAGGAAGTCAGTGGATGTAAGTGGCTGGGATCATTCTTTATGGCAGTCTATGGGAAAGACCTATGTTCATCAGTGGACAGTTAACGGCTAATAAAATAATGATGGCTTGTAATTTTGTATACTTTTGTGTGCTATAAAGTCAATTTATTCACATAATTGTGTTTACGTGTATCTTAACTGCTACGTGACTAAATCCGCTTTACTAATCGGACTCCGTAACAATGATTATAAGCAATTTCTATATAAAATACTTAATCCACAACATTTACACACAATTAATTGTTATTAGAAACGTTATAACACAAATAAATATTGATCCATAAAAAAAGAATAAATTTAAAAACATCGACATCAATCGTATCAAACCTTTAATTATTTAGTTTAGTTAAAAATAAAAGTTATAATTATTTTCAAAATCAAACTACTGAATAGATTTTAATGTATTTTCTTTGGAACTAATCTGAAATTATTGTGAAAAATGTTTTCAAATAGAAAACAAATCAAAGTGGTTCATAAATGATAAAAGTTCATAAAAAATACAACTAAATTGGGAACCTCTTCTTTTTATTAAAGTCAGTTAATAATTAATTATATATATATATATATATATATATATATATATATATATATATATATATATATATAATTATATAAGGCATAACATACTAATCAAACTTATCATTCTTAAGTCACCTTACGTAGTATAGTTAATAACTATACTCACTTTATAAATGAGTGTGCTTACTAACTAGTTTACCAAAAGCTATAAATAATAATGGGTAAGTTAACTGCAACAGTCATCAAGGTTCATCATAACATTCACGGTGAAGGCATCCCAACAAATTCAATGAAACCTCGAGCATTTTACTAAAGGTCACAAGTGAATAACCAGGCAACCTCGAAGAAAAAAATCAACACCCTGTGGTTCATCGACACTAATAATTACATATCCAAGTTACAAATAAGATATAACAAGCGTGCTGAACGAGTTTACGTGTATTATCTTGAATATATCGTCCTTGCTACTACAAACCATTTTGTAGTACATATTATATGAAAAAATAAACCGGTACATCCAATGAAAATATCCTTCAAAGACCACACGAGGGTGAATATATTATTATAATGAAATATATAGAAT